CCGTGTGTGTGTCCGTCCGTGTGTTTCGCGTGCGTGTTTGTCCGTGTGTTTCGCGTGCGTGTTTGTCCGTGTGTTTATTAGCTTTGAAGACACAGCTGTGTGTGTCGTTCTGGAAGAAAGGGGGTGGGGGTGGGGGCCTCGTGTCGGCTGCTTCAGAAGTTATCCATTAGCCAGACCGATGATTCGCGTTGAGTTAAAAAAAAAACATTCGAATCCATGTTTTGTTACTGAATAATATTTACACTATGGGGACCTCATTTGCCAGTAAAAATATGATAATTGGTTCTTTACCCTTCTATCTGGCAACAAAACTGACACCTTTTTGCAAGGAGTCATGTTTGCATAGACCACAATACCTGCAGTCATAATACAAACAAAAGAACATAACTCTGATAATGTGCACTGTCCTTGAAGTTGATTGGTCCACACCCGAGACAGCTTTCCTTCGAGCCTAGTCTCATATGGGTTGGACCAGATGACGCCAAAAGGCGTCATCTGTGCGCCTTTTGGCGTCATCTGGTCCAACCCATATGAGACTAGGCTCGAAGGAAAGCTGTCTCGGGTGTGGACCAATCAACTTCAAGGACAGTGCACATTATCAGAGTTATGTTCTTTTGTTTGTATTATGACTGCAGGTATTGTGGTCTATGCAAACATGACTCCTTGCAAAAAGGTGTCAGTTTTGTTGCCAGATAGAAGGGTAAAGAACCAATTATGAATAATATTTGTCGCGAAAACCTACGCGTTAAGCGAGCTTAACTATTCACTCCCTTGCTCTGGGATCACATCCTTTGTCTCACACAGCTTAAGTTGGTTTGGTTTGGAAGTTGAAATGCGACTTATTTGCTGCTTGGTTATGCCGAAACCGTGTTCACGATGTTTCATCGTGACCCGATCTCCCATGGAAATGTCATTTCCTGGCTTGTGCAATTTTTTCTGTCCGTGTTGTGGGAAGACAAAGGCGGTTGTTTCCACGGTGGGAGCACCCGGCGTATGCTTATTTATTCGAAGGCGTGTGTTAATTTCCTTTGAGCCCTTGCCCCAACTTTTATGGGTGTCATTTCCTGGCTTGGTGCCTGTGTGTCGTGATCCTCTCGGAAAGACAAAGGCGGCCGTGTTGCTCGCTTCCCATGGGTGTTGTGTTTGGTTAATTTTGAGAGCCTTCTCCGCCCTTGATTTCTCTTCTACTTTAATTCCGTACTTATTATTTGACTTCTTGTGATTATTTGATCTGATATCCCGGCTAGGAATTTTGTTTTGGAGCGAAATCGATGCCATAATTATTCTTTGATGCTTCGGCCCGGCCGTGTAGATATTCTTTAAAGGTAAATAATGTCAGTATTTATTAACAATGATGGGTCGCGATTCTGGTTCAGATTGTCGTCTGGTTTTCAATTGGAGTGAGGATGGATACTGTTTGCTTAATCTTTATGGTTAAGTTGGTAACTTGTGTATTTAACATGGTTCAAAGACCCATCTGTGCTTTTTGTCGTCGATGCTGTTTCCTTGTTAAGAATATAATTATCTCTTCCTCCGTGTCTCCTGGTTCTGCAACCCCCCGCCTGCAATTCCCCCCCTCCCTTGTTCCTCTTGTGTGAATTTAGGGGAGTTTTTTTTTATTACCTTATTGCCCCCCCTTTCATGTCCTCTTTCCTTTGAAATGAGGTATGCGCGCATCTGTGGAAGTGTGGGGGCCTCTGTGGAAGTGTGGGGGCGTGTTCGTTCCCACGTGGCCCTGTGTCTATTAAAAAAACAATATTATATATGATGGCAGAATAATCCTTAAAAAAAAAATAATATTAAAAAAAATAAAAAGGGGGTACATACACAACAGTAGGTTCAAATTAATAAAAATAAAATTAACAAAAACCACGACATTTCGATCACATCACAAGCGATTGTCATCAGGAAGAAAAAAAAATACAGGTAATGTCCGGAAATAATGGAATTATTCCAGTTGTCGTCATAAACCTGCAAGACTCGCTCTCCAGCTCTAGGCCAATATCTATCATGTCCTCGACTTCCAAGCTCATGGAATGTGCATGCTTGCCTGAGTTTCCCCCATTATTGACCCCTAGCTGCCCAACGAAAAATCCGTATTTCGAAGTGGCCGTAGCTATTGTGAACAGAAGGTAGCATTCAGCTTGAACAGAAAACCGATACAGCAATGATTGACCTCTGCAGCCTATGATACCGTTGGCGGCCAAAATCGAATGCCGTTCAACTATACACCTAATTGTCGCGATGGTCGGCAAATGTACTTTGAGGATACGCCTCACTGGTGAACACAGCCACGAGAGTTATGAACAACGACCTTCCTCAAGCTTGGTGCTAGCACCGCCACTATGTAACACATATGTAACCTGACATGTGCATCTTCTCGTAAGTTTGTATATACGCATGGCATATTATTGGTTCTTTTGGTAAAGTCACGTAGAAGGGAAATCATAAAATAATAACAATAAAACAATAAAATTGTCACGACGTTTTATTTTCATTATTTTATCATTTCCCTTCTGCGTGACTTTACCGAAAGAACCAAGAATATGAATCCCTGCAGTCACGAAAGCTTTAAATCGAAATTTATACACATGACATTAACTTTAAACTAAACTTTTTTTTATTTAACCTTGCCACACAGGTCACAACTTTCGAGACCATTGTCAATACTCTAACAGCTGATATAATTTTACTGGAGGCATATTTCCATAGTCGTAGACTGACCAAATCCTTCCAAAACCACCAAAAGCGGACTCTACCTGAATGATTGTTCAGCAGATGTGACTCTTGATGCATCCTTTTGTGGTAACCCAGTGTACTATGATCCCACTCCAAGATATCTAGGGATTATCATGGATAGATGCCTGACCTTTGAGCCCCTTACAGTATAAAACAGATATATGAAAAGACAAATTCAAACATCGTCTTGCTACAGAAACTTTTAAGAATGACCTCGGGCACCAGAAAATAGCTGTAAACTGCCGACCTGTCACTGATCTACTCAGTTGCAGAGCATTGCACCCCAACCTCGTGCGGGAGCTCAATACACAAAACTGCTAGATGTACAATTATCTACCACAATGGGTATCATCACTGGAATTCTGAAACCAACACCAATCTCCTGGATTGCTATTCTGGTAAAAATTCTGCCACCAAATATCCACAGAGACATGCACACTACAGTACATGAGTATTTCTATGTTTTATTTCAAACAACCGACCTATTAACCAAGACCTCAACAATGTACCTAGCTGCCGACTCAGGCTCCGATCCCCCTTCTGGGTTCGTGCTGTCACCATCCTAGAGTCTCATCCAGATTCGTAAGAACGCTGGCAAAGAGTGGAACGACGCGGACATCCAGAATAAACACCTTATTTGAGTTTAACAAGTAGGCTTTTGCGACAAATATCATCCATAATAGAGGTTTTTGGGTTAGATCGCGTAAATATATAAACGTAAACAGAACATGCCAATTCGTCACAAGTACCGCACACCAGTGTGTTGGTAAGCCAAGCCACAGCATTTACAATCTGAATACGTAGGGATGCTCAACCCACAGCAAACATGTTGACACTGTCCTAAATGACACGTGCAGAATTGTAACAGGGTACCTGGAGGCTACCTGTCCCTTACCTATATGCACTATCTGGCATAGCGCCCCCCTAACATCAGGAGGAGACTAGCGGGTGACCACGACCGGCAAGTCAGAGTGACACGTCCGTCTCTCATCGAGAAACAGCTTCTTGTGCTCCACTATGCCACTGACCGCATCACCAGAATCTGATAGAACTTCCCTCTGGCAAAAAGAATGGGAAAAATCAAGTGACAAAACTGCTGAATGGAGCCAGTGAGGAATCATCCACAGTGAGGAGCTCGCACATGGTTCCAATTACAAATAGCTCACATGGCGGAGCCTAAACAGACTGAGAGTGGGTTTCGGCAGATGCAACTCTCGCATGAAATCATGGCGCTTTTGCATAAGCGAACAATGTGCTTGTCAGGAGAAGCAAACCATAGATCTACTCCTGAGATGCCCTGCAGCACCATATCACAGCGACCATAGTAGCAATGTATCGTATCATCTGTAAATATACTGGTTTATTTTTTTACACCAATGTAGAGACACAGGACTGGGAGAAGAACACATCCTCAAAGTGACTGAGTGTGAAAATAATCACATTGATCTCCAGTTGTGATCTTGGGAGCACTAAATGGACAGAAAATTAGAAGAATAGCATGAAACAAAATGGAAAAAGAAAGTTAAGAAAAAGTATGGCGGGAGGAGATGATTAATGGAGGCAGAGGCCAGGTCAGAAACGAATGAACACAACTCTCCTTGTGTTCTTTTAGTGATCCATGCTACAGGTCCTTATTAATATCCATTCGCGTTCATCGAAGATGTGTTGTTCTTAAACTTGAGCAACTCGGGCTGACTGAGTCGATTCGAGTTAGCTATCCCATCAAAATAACATGTGTTGTCTCAAGGTCAAAAAGAACGTAAATAATGCAAATCAATATTCAGCTGTGAGTATAAACTGGCTGACACATTTGTATAATCTTAATTTGAAGCTTTCGTGACTGGAGTAATCTATACTCTTTGGTCCTTTCGGAAAAGTCACGTAGTTAAAAATAAAATTAAAAAATCACGACGTTTCGATTGAAACGTCGTGATTTGTTCGATCGAAACGTCGTGATTTGTTTGATTTTATTTCTAACTACGTGACTTTACCGAATGAACCAAATTTGTATAATGCGCCAATTAATTGTTCTGTGTTGTTTATAACCGGAGAGAGCTGTAAATAGCCAATTGTAACCCACTGCATACTTGTGGACATGTTCACAATAGTATTGGCATTTTTGTTCATTAGTTGATAAGTTAAGCAACATTAATGAGTGCACTTGTTTCTATGTTCGAATGCCTATGCTCCCCACCTTCACCAATCCGCAGGAATTGGAGTGGTGAAGTTTGAAAAAAGAAGCCCAAGAATTGATCTCATACCTGCCAAGGCCAGCTGTGAGGAGTGGCCTCACTACCACCTGCAATGCGATTATGTTGAGCAATCGCAGATAAACCACAAGTCTGAGCCGAGACGAATGCTGTGGAAAGAAAAGCATACGAATAATATAAACACTCCTGGTGAAATAATTTAACAGTTGCATGGAAAAAAAAACCTAGAATCCGAACTAATCTTACTGTAAGTAACACATGTGAATACCTTGATTCAGCAGGAAAGTGAAGATCAGGAGAGTGACCATGATTTCTTGATTGGGGTTTTCCGCACGCTGTCAAATGACCGACGCGCAGCCTATATATACATGGACATACAAGGAAGTAAAATGTATTCATGCGAAACATTTTGCATAGATAAAGGTTCTGCGGGCATGGTGTCACGGGTCTACGAGTCGTTAGTAGTAAAATTCCATCACTGCTCTAAAATTATTGCGTGTTTTTTGGAGTTGTGACAGAAATATACAAACAATTCATGAGCGCATTGTGTCATGAATAGTGACTTTCAATTGATTGCCATTGTTTTAAAATCTTTATTCAAATAAATGCACGAGTTAGTCTGTTAATTATTTCACATCTGTGACGTCACCCACACACCACGCACGCGTGTTGCTGTCGGCCTTTTCTGGCTCAGTGCCGGTGTGGGTTGGTGGTCGGTTGGTGGTGGCTGGAAGTTGCTTCCACTGACGGGAGGACCCCAACGTTACGAGGCGAGCCAATGGCGAGAAGGTCGCTCGATGTGTGAGCGCGTTGCCTTGTGTGGGTGGTTGAGCGGCTAGATGCAAAGCTTCAAATCAAGACGAGATGCAAGCTGACGATGGCGTTGTTACCCCCCTCACCCACCAGCCACCACCAAGGCACCGAAGCCACTGTTTGGCTTCGTCGTGGCACGAACGATTGGGTACCAATCCCAATCCACGGTCATCATTAACTCCTCCGTTGAGAATAATTACACGTGTGATTCCTTGCGTTAACGTACCGTGTCCAACCCATGCTGTTTTACTCCGTGTTATTGTACAGGGAAATTGAGTATTCATGATCATACGGCGTGCAGCCGTTTCAATACGGGCAACAGCAAAAAAGGACTTTGTCGGATGGAGGTTGAGATTTATAATAACCTTACATATATACACAGATTTCATTGTTATGTAATGTTTGAAAGTTTTCAGAAGATTTTAAATGTATTTTCCCCCCGGGCAACGCTGGGTATATCGAGTTTATACCACAAAGTCGTCGCTTGACACGGGTGGGGTGTCGAGGCCTAGTACCGTGCAGAGCCTCCGGCCTCGCCTAAATTGCCCACCCGGCTGAGGCTGGGTACTGGGGCCGTTAACCCCCCCCCCGCGCTACAATAATACTGTCTAATCGCTATAATTGTATTATCTACCGACCCTATAATAGTAATTGCACACATTGGGGTGGGGGGGGGAGTGAAGAGGATGTGAAACTTTGATGAATTTACCTCAGAGTCGCGTGTTAATGCGTGCGCATATTTTTAACGGGAATTAAAAATGGCGTCCACCCCGCAGCGAATGCGTCACTACCCGTTGCCAGGGGCAACCGCCGTGGAAAACCAAACGGACCAATCGCGTCTCGCAAATCTCTCACATTTCGTCCAATGAAACTGCGTATGGTCCGGCGACACACAGACACACACACAGACAGACAGACAAACAGACAGACAGATTTACGATTTTATATATATAGATGGTCGGGGGTCCACATTAAAGGCCGCCAAAGGGTCCGCCAATGGCACGCGGCCCTTGCAATGAAAGGCAATATTGTAAGAGTGCAGGTGGTGCAACTGCCACAGGTCACCACCACGCAGACGGGCTGGGCTACAAAGTTAGGGTTGGGGGGTGAAGAGGAGAATTGGACAACGGGAGATTTTGCTGCAGAAATATCCGTTATACTTTACTTCGTTGCAACCCCGCAAACCTTTTAAACATGTTTGTCTATTCATGATTCATGCTTACCTTTCCTATACTTGGCACTCCTATCGTTCTTTTTCTCTGCATTTTTTGTTGCAATTTTGTGACCCGGCCCTACTGGACATCTGTGAAAAAGAGTTTCGTATGTCATCGGATTTCTCCGGGATAAATATAGATTCTGACGTGATGCTTGTAAAGTATAAAAATACCCATGGGATACAATTCACGGAATACAATTACGACATGTATAGCAGTGTGCACCTATTTTATCTGTAAAAAAAAAAAATTCCTGTTGCCATCATGCTGCTGACAACCACGTCTAGCCTACTTAATTTTGCCCCTCCTGATTTTGTTAGTTGTACTTTAATTATAAACTAATCTGCGGTTAACAACAATGCCAAAAAATTCGTGTTCTATCCACACCAAATGCTTCGTTTTCACACATTAGACGTAGCGTGCACAATTCTGTTACGGTTCGTTCACCAAAAATGTGGTTACATACTTTCAGAGCATTTCAAACGAGAATATACACTTGCTCGCTTTATATTGGCTTTATCAGTACAGTATACTCTGAAAAAAAACAATAAGTAGATTAATTAATAAAAAAATCCGATTCTTTAGATGTGTAATAAAGGACTCTTGCACTGGGTCTGGCTCCGTTGTCCTTTATTTGGTTCGTACAAACTTGCCCGCACGGCGTCTCGCTCAGTATCTCCTCCATCTCCCGCTCGGCAGCCCACTGCTGCCGTCTCTCCAGCAGCCCCGTTGCTGCCCCACCATGCAGCCCCACCGCTGCCTGTTACGCAGCCTCACTGCTGCCCAATGTGCAGCCCCACCCCTGCTCACTATGCAGCCCCGCTGCTGGCTCTCTGTCGCCTCTGTGCCCGGACACCGATGGCCAACGGTGCCGAGTCCCCGACCTGTGGCGATCGCGCCACTTTCCTTCTCCTACCCCGCGTGGCCTCCTTCTCTCTCTACTCGGACTCTCTCCCCGAGCCCTTCCGGTTCCTGTCCTTAAAAGCTCTCTCTCCCCACGTGACCCTAACTCCTCCCACTTGTTACGTCACATCCAGCAAGCCCGTTTACGCTCGCATTACAGATGCAGCACAAAAGTAGGGAGCGTTGTATAGCGGGCTACTGCTGATTGCTCGGTTTGGAACTTCTGAAAAAAACGATAATACGAGGGTTTTTTTATCTGGTTTTTGTTGTTGCATTGCCGGTACAATAACCGAATTAAAAAACGGGTAAGACACGTGCTATTGCATACACTGTAGAGAAATATCTAGCAATAAACATCAACGTTTTCACTGATAAATGAGGGTAGTTTCCGTAGTGTGACAACGGAGCATGTCACTCACACAGCACGACAGTTGCAATAAAAAAATGTCTTCCCCATTTTAATTGCCGTTTCTTAAATCTCCACTGCTGCTGACCACCCAACAGTATAAATGGTTACACCACAATGGGTTGGCAAGGTTGTATGTGGGTGGGATAAATTGTGGGTACGTTCACCTCGTCCAGTATGTTCGATCAGCGTGGAAGAAGAGGCAATACGCAATAGAACTGCGTGTAATTAAGGCTATTTCGCCAGCGGTGGAGTAAGTAATTTATTTCAGGATGGCACTTTTAACTGAGAATTGAGGCCAAATGGCCTCAGGCCGCTGTGCAGATTGTACATTTCTGTGTACCTATAAATGTAGTCGCTAACATTCCACTGTAAACGGCACCGTTCCCGACTTTTCCGACTGATTCTAAAAACGGTTAATGGATTACCTCGTGTCATTTAACGACCCTAAATCATATGCAAAGGTGTTTGCCCCAACGAAATTGCGTGACCAGCGCGCGTACTTGGTTCACACCCGCACGTGATTCGCTAATAGGAATACGTGGGAAGGGGCCATGAATGGTCTCGGCTATTGCCAAACAGAATTCGGTGTTTAGCAAATATTTGAATTATGTCCAATGTATCCACAATTGTATGCTCAATCACTTTTGAATGACGATAGGTGACATCCGCCCTGATCAATTATACTACACCCAAGGCGGTAATATTGCACGGTGTGACTGTCATTTTTAATCAATGTTAACAAATCCAACCCTTTTTTAACTTCTTTATTATTCTTGATTGGCGAGTATGAGAACGCACTGAGTTTTCTTCATAATAATACTTTGTTGCATAAATAGCTCTTCTATTAATTATTCTATTAATTTGTAGGAATTCTATGAAGATGACCATGTTGCACAATCCAATTCCAGCCACGCACGGGAAAGTAACATCCCATGCACCACACTGCATGTATTATGGTTCTGTGGTGCTGATGGTGTTCAATATATCTGTGATTGAATTTAATTCTGCTTACATTGTATTTGTTGTACAAAAGGGGTGAATGTCCATCTATTTGGAATCACAATTTTAATTTATGAAATAACATTTTAATCATGCAACCACGAGTATAACAGATAAAGGTTTTTAGAAAGAACTACTGTATTTTCCCGCATATAGTCCGCATATGCATATAACCCGCAGATGCATATACCCCGCAAAAATAGCGTTTAGTGTAAAACAAATTTCAGATAGCCCGCACCTCCATATACCCCGCATGCATTCACGTCGGTATAAAAAATAAAACAAATACATTTAATCACGACGTTTCAGGCACAACACAAGCGTCCGTCATCAGGTGGGACAACCACAGCAAGAAACAATTGCTCGGGTCCGGGATGAAGACACCTCATGGAGAATGAAGACAAGCCTCAAATCATCGTGGCCAATCAATAGCGCTCCTGGCTTGGCCATGCCAGTTGTTATCCGAGTGTCGAGTGTTAGCGAGGATAGGTCGGTGGTCACCACCCTATGTGTAGTGTAATTACAGTTGTGTTATTAAATAGTGTTGCCTCCCTACGAGAGTGTGCGCGCCTCTATCGAACCATTACATATCCATTTTATCAGCGTTTTCCCAATATCATACATGATGATGCAGACGTGAAATGATTGCAGCAACAACATTAAAAACGAATCAATTAAATACGAAATACATTTTATAACAAAATCTTAACTTTTCATGAATTTAATGCTACTATGCATTTTCCATTTTATGCTTTTCATTATATATATTGACAAGATACAGGATAATTTCAACAATATTTTGTATAAATTGAAGTTTATTGTAATATGGTTATGGGCCAATATGCACCGTCAGCTCTGAGTGAAGAAACAACAGATGTTGTAACGGGGCTGTCTTCTGCAGCATTTTGAAAATGTGGTATGAATTTTTGTTACTTTTTCACATATTTTAACAAGTACAATTTTGATACATAACCGTATAATATAATGTGAGCAAGTTCATAGAACTTCAAGTACTCTTTATATTACGCTTATTATTTCATGCTTTGATGTTTCTAATACGTTTCTCGTGTTTTCTACATTTTAATTTTATATGCTCATTTGATTATGACTAAAATAACCTACCAAAGCATAATTTTATTGTTAGTCAATATTGAATTATGCTGTAAATCGCATACATGGGAATTCAATGTTATCTGTTGAAAATTATATGACGTTATATCGTAGGTATGTTAGAACTCCATGTAGGAGTTGTGCAAAGTCATCATGTTGTATGACATGCTGATGGTTATCTGTAAGCATGCTGGTGATGCAATAAGTAGATGACCTACTTTGAAGTTATATCCTTTGTCCAGAAAAGTATCGCTCTCACTTGGGATTTGGGCCACTTTCAAACTAATAAGTGTTTTTGCATGACAGTAAATGAGAATACCTGGGGGGCTAAAATCGTGCCGAAGAGAGTATGACAATGCATGGTGCTATAAATGCAGCGTTTTAAAATAAATGTGATAATGTGAGATGGCCACTTATGGTCCATGTCTTGCAATCTCTTTCGTGGCTCAGATCCAAGAGGAGTTTCTTTAGAAAGTCAGAGTGGTGTGCACAAACAACTGCTGGTAAATATGCTCGCATGCATTTCATTTACATCCATGATGCATGCATTTTATTTATATCGATGTCCCACAAGCCACAGTGGGGTTACAATGTTTAGTTCTTAGAAGCTTGAGACAACCCATATTTGGTATGCCTTGAATCGTCTCCATGGGCTTCCTTGAATAATCGGCATTTTGCCGTGATGTGTGCTTGTTCCCCCAAACTTAAAATGATTCTTAGAAGCCTCGTGAGTTCCCAAGCTATAAACATAATTTTTGCTAAAAAGATTGTTTTATTAAGTGACAACAAATATGTTGAAATTTGAGCAACTGTCAATATCTGTTTGCAGTCCATTGTGGGCCATTGCCGAAAATGGTAACTCATTTTTTCAGCTGTGAGACAACTGTTCATGACAGGGCAGGATAGGTCGGGCGATATCATTGTCTAGTGGTAGCGCATTCACTGCTTTTTGTCGAGATTCATGGTTCGAATCCAGCAGCCGTCCTAATTATTACGGCGAGTGTTATAACTATAATGTGCCATATGTTTTATCGTAGACATTAAAGATCTCCTGACATCATTAAAAAGAGTAGGTCATTGCGTGCCATAGGGTCCAAATTTGTCGAACTGGGATTATATAGAGAGATTATCACCTCCGACTCGCAGACTGATGCACCAGGGTCATTCAAATAAGCTTATCTGTTCTCACCTGGCGACACAAAATAAACTTGAACTTGACAACCAGATGCATAGCATGGTTAATGTAATAAAGTAACGTATGATTTTTAAAGCGTAATTCGTGAAAATTGCATCTCACAATGCTGTACAATTGATAAAACGTGCCGTTTTCAAACGGAGGCATGGGCAACCACATACAAGCCATAATAGAGCCAGAATCGGTGCCAACAATTACCCAAGCTATGCAGTCTGCCAAAATAATCCCGTTGGGTTGGCAAATTTGAACCATGACGCCGGCACACAATGAACTACTCTCGTGAAAGGCGGCACGGGTCCATCAATGTCCACTGTGAAAGCAGATGGCACGTAATCTTTTTTATGTTTTTCTTACCCACAGTATTAATCAGAGAGGCTGCTGGATTTGAAGCTTGAACCTTTGTAAAAAACGTCGAGTGCACTTCCATTCGGCAATGTCACCGCCTCGTGGTTGGCATAGGTCTTGGTGCAAGGGATGAAATCGGAGGCCTTGTCCAATTCCGCCACCCCCCTCCCCTCTTTATAGTCAGGTGGCTGGTAAAAATACTTAAACCAGGTATCTTTTGTCGATAAAACACCACACAACACCCATTGTTTAGAAATCTTTATTCAAATACTACATTATGTCCAGAAACTGCATTTATAAGCTATTTTAGGTACATGCACTGGTTTGTAAATGATTTCATGAAGCAAAATGAGTAAATCCATTAAGTATATTAAATCTATGGGATACAATTCGCGGCATACAAATCGCTGTATATAGCAGTGTGCAACTATTTTAACTATAATAATTTTTTACCTGTTGCCATGATTATATTGCTGACATTATCACGTCTAGTCTACTTCATTTCGCCCCACCTGATTTTGTTAGTCGTAGTTACATGATAAAATAATCAGATTGTGGTTAACAACACCGCCACTGTATAAATTCGTGTTCTGTCCACATCAAATATGTCGTTTTCACATGTTAGATGTAGCATGCACAATTCCTTCACGGTTAGTTCGCCATAATGTGGTTACGTAACTTTCAGAGTGTTTTAAACAAGAATATACAATGTTACCAGCTCTCTGTTGCCTTGATCAAAATACTCTTCGAAAAAAGGTTGATTCAGATTAGATTAAACAAGCTTGTGTTAATATTTCAAGAAACATTATGATGTAAATATCAATGATCCAGTATGTGTTAAGACGGCGATGACCATCTTGATGGTACAGTTCATCGCCCACAAGAATGTCCTTCTGAGTTTAATAACGCGCCATCACCTGCACATTGGAAATTCACGTAAAATACAGTATTATCTTATGAAATATTACTGACAACCAACATTACAACACAGTAATGGTCATTTATACTCTTTGGTTCTTTCGGTAAAGTCACGTAGGTGGAAATAAAAATATTAAAATTTAGAAAACTTCAAATCTAGAATTAATGGCCATTTCTAAATGTAATTGTAATGTTAAAGGCCAATACAATGGTTGAAACCACTCTGTACATCCAATAACACACTTTCACAGGCCCAATATTGACATGAAATGAATAATTTATATTTTCTCGTCTAAATATCTGGGTATTAAAAAAATGTTCTTGCATACACTTCGTAGTGTAGTTTCAGCCCTGTAAATTGTTATTAAAAGCTGGGGACATGGGGTCAATGGAGAATTCATTTTATATTTTAATATAATTTAGATGCATTTACCCTTTAAAATCTGTCTAGTTTGCAACTTAGGTTCTTGATCCATTTGACCAATTACTGGTTTGCAGTGTAAATAGGAATTTTTTACACTAGGGAGACTTGATTTTTTGGAAAAAGATCATCATATGACTGGCAATTAACTTTTCTTTTTTTATCTAAGAAGGTCTTACTGAGTCTCAAATGTAAATTAAGGGTCCCCGTTGGGATTCACGTCGGGTTGCCATATTTTCTATCGGCCAAATCTAGACATTTCTCAGGTAACATAGACCTATCAACACTGTACCACATAATACCATAATAGAATTTAAACAATACTAACCATTCTAGATATGAATAATTTCCCGCCACCCGAACATAACTGTCTGTGTAAAACCCAGATCAAACCTGAACAAGTGGAGACCCTAGCTTGAGGACCTACAGCAGTACTCACTCAAACCAACTCCGTTTCCTCGTGTCACATTCCATTTTAAACCTCCTCTCTGCCCTTCTTCACCAATCACCCTTCTGATGTTTCCCGCTCTTTCCGTTTCTCCTCACAAATCCGATCAGTGTCATCCACCCACCAATCTGATTGCGTGTCGTGCACGCCAGTGCTCACACCCCTGATCTCTATTCCTTGCCCGAGTGTGCTGTGTGTGCGTGACGTCAGTGACCACTGACCTCCGACCCTTCCTTGGTGTATCCCCCGTTTGCGTGATTGACATGTGCGGCGTGTGTGATGTCGAGTGTGGAAGTTACGCGTGCTGTTTGTGTAGTGCGAATGTGTGAGGATGGACGAGACATCCTCTACACATGCATCCATTTGCTGTACTGCAATCTTATGGTTAGCGCACAGCCCAAGTTTTAGTTCTGGATGAAGTCTGCATGAGCCACCATCCTCACATCGAAAATTTTGCATTATAAATGTAGCCACCATGTTCAACAAATGATAGAGATATTACATTAAATATATGAATTTGCAGAGTGTACATATACTGTTTATAAATATGTATAACCGATGAACATAGTATACGAACTTGTGCGTAACAGTAGCAGTTTGAATGTGCAGCTTACATTTTGAATCCAGGGAATGTAGGCAGATATACGAGTGAAGCCTGAGGGCTTATAGTAGTTTAGACAACTCAATGATGATATAAATGAAGCAACGCCATGCACAACCCATGAATTGTCACTCTTCCGACATAGTAGCGGTCCACCCCCATCACCCTTTGAACAAACGGAAAAGTCATTATTAAACCATTATCCTTAACCACAACTGAAGTTATGAGTAGACAAAATTCTTACATCTGTCAGACTGTCAAATACTTTACTGTGTGAAAACGTTTGATACACTTTGAGCAGAGTAATCCATGCACTGTACAACTTGCACACATTATTCCTAAAAACACTTTCACAACAAATCAGTAATTTGCTTACAAATTGTGACTCAAACAAGAAAAAGTCTTACATTGCATATACCGCTTGATCCATCACCAGCACATATTGCGTTTTCGGGAAAAAAAGAACCATAAAATTCATTTGATTTGCATGTCTTGTCGTCAATCACTGGTATGTTGGCTTGCTGGAGCGTGCTGGTAAGTAAACCATTTTCTAAAACATCGGGAAAATGACAAATAAAACTTAGTCACATCCCTCTTACAATATATATAGATATACTAGCATTTTGCCCATCCAAGGACGGTTGTATTGCAGTAAATCTGAAACTTGCAAGCGAAAAGCAGACCACGACGTTATATTAATTGCATTAATGCGTGTGCAATTAGTAAGGACGTAGTGACACAGACCTATTTCATTTGAAGGTTATAATTCCAAAGTTCATCATGACGTCCTTTTTACTTTGATGTCTCAATAGCGTTACGGAGATCGCATGACGTGAGGGTTCTGCCTTTGTAGTGAGGGTTGTAAGTTGACGCCGAGGAGGGAGGAGGAGGCGCCTCGGCCCCCCATGTGGAGTGACATCAGCCGCTAATTATTATGAATGGGGGGTGTCCATTTGGAGGACGTCACCTTATAATGATTATTAATGAGGGGGGCTGTTCGATGTGGAGTGACGTCACTTGCGCATGATATTTAGTGAGGGGGGAGTACTCCATATTGAGTGACGTCACCCGCTCATTATCATTAATGAGGGGGGGGGGGTGTCCATTTGAAGGCAACATTCCACGAGAAGCTGAACCAAACACGGCAACGCATTGTACGTTAAGGGAGGCACAAGGAAATTCTACCACGATGTGGTGAAATCTCATCTGTAACAGCATTGTGCAAAGTTACGAATGTCCTCAAAGGTGCACATCACTGCAGGGTTATGTAAATCTGCAGCAGTGCCCACAAAGATCAATACACAACAGATTAATGCAGGTGACCCCTCAACGCCTGGCCGTTGGTTATGTTGTCAGATCCTGCAACCGTTGTACAGTTACCAGTTGACCTCCAAAGACAACACCTTGGTCACCCACCTTTGGGTGTCCACTTAAGTGCCACTCTTGATAGTCTGACCTCCATCCTGGTACTACTAATGTAATTAACCGTGGAAGGATGATAGTAATGTTAACAGGGCCGGTTTTTAGACAGTGTTACCACAATAATTTATACAAGTAATAGAGGAATCCCTCGCCAACCGCGGATTTGCAACATAAGCAATCGTCATCAGGTAGAACTAAATTTGAGAGACAAAACACAGACACGGAGACAAAGACAGACACACAAGCAGAGAGAGAGACAGCACAGAGACACACCTCTGTGTGTCTATGTTGTGCGTCTCTCTCTGTGTGTCTGTGTTGTCTCTCTCTGCTTGTGTGTCTGTCTATGTGTCTCCGAGCCTATGTTTTGCCTCTCTCTCAAATATAGATATACTTGATGACGACTGCTTGTGTTGCAATCGAAACGTCGTATTCTATTATTTAATTTATTTATTTCTACTTGACTTTACCAAAAGAACCAAAGAGTAATTCCTGCAGTCACGAAAGCTTCAAATCAAGTTTAATAAAGGTGTGTAAAGTCAATGTAATGTTTTATTATGTTGTGTCATTTACAATATTTTATTCTGTGTTTAGTTCATAAACAGGCAACTTAGTGAAGTTATGACGAATGTGAGCGTGGGCATGGTACCCCTAACCCCCCATTTCCCACAGGCCCTGAACTATACCAACCACGGATTTCCCTCCCTTGGCATTTACCAGGAACCTAACCTACGCAGTTGGCAAGGGATTGCTGAACTCATTTTATTGACACTACAGGGATGTTTAGCGAAGTTGACTTCAGACTGGGAGTTTAAATAACATAATTTCCATTTGTTCGCTCTTACCATAGTGTAACCAAGGCCCATGTGCCATGAGACAACAAAAAGTGTTTCAGTGTTGGATAAAATATCTTTGTTACTTTAAAATTGCGGAAAACTTAACAAGACGATTACTGTAAAAAGTTAAATACAACGCATGTCAAACGCTTGATGGAACTTGTGGCGAGATGTTAACTGCCTCGCCTGGTAAGCAGGAAGTCGTGGGTTCAGTCCCAACCCTGATGCCTGTATATTTCGAGTTGGCATGCTCTCCCCGTCATCCCGTGGATTTTTCTTCAGGTCCTCCAGTTTTTCACTCCACATTTAGAATCGACATGCGTTTAGAGTATTGGGCTGCTCTAAATTTCCACGCGATAAATCATTTAATTGAGCTATCATTTGTCGCTAGGCCTCTTCTGAAAAAGAGCTGTATTGCTCAGTGGGCCTTGTCTGATAAAATACAAAGTCGTAAACACATTCCAATAGAGCAGCACTTCTCAACCTTTTTTAATTTCACAGCACACTATTGAGCTTGCTCAATCTTAATGGCACACTGAATCAAAACATCACTATGGACCCTTCATCCATTCGTTGATTGATCATAGCTCATGATGATGTGTGTGAGTGCACGCATCTCTTTCTCAGGGGAGAGGCCACAGTGGTAGACTTGGTGCCATCATGGAAATGTGGAATCTTCACAGTCACATGTGTCGCTGTCTACTTGTTCACCATGTGTTCCCCTGGACTGGTTGCAACTCAATTGGAACTGCAGATACGTGAGGTTGGGGTTTAATTATTCATCCGGGGAGCACCCGGCTCAGCCAATCAACTAAGAAGGGGGGAGTTGTGTGTTTAAGTATGTGTGTATGACAATTTGTTAAATTTATCTGTGTGTCCAATTTCATCGTCTATTTACCGTGATTCTAGATTTTAAGCTTTCGTGACTGGCAGGATTCATACTCTTAGTTCTTTCGGTAAAGTCACGTAGGTAAAAAACTGAAATTAAAATTAATAAAAATAACAATAAAAATCACGACGTTTCGGAGGCAACACAAGTCTCCGTCATCAGGTGGGACCGTCACAGCCAGATTTGCTGCATCAAGTGAGGCAAAGATTCAAGATGTAAGCCCTTAAATGCAAGTTGAGGGGGGAGGAGAGGGGGGGAGCTCATCAGAATGTGGTAGCCAATGAATGGAACGTATCGGGAGGGAGGGGGGCGGGGCTAAAAGAAGGTACGAAGTGCTACGTAGAACGTATCGGGAGGGGGAGGGGGGCGGGGCCAAAAGAATGCACGAAGTGGTACGCGAGAGTCGGCGACGTGGACGTGGTTGTGCGCAAGCAACTATTGTTGCACACGCCAACGCATTGGACGGGAGGGGGAGGGGGGGCCAAAAGAGAGTGTGGGGTGCAAGTGTACGTGGACATGTGTATGTACAAGCACCTGTTGATACACATGATAGAAAAGAACGAAAATGTCCATGTTTATACCAGTGCTGGCTGAACAATAAAGAGAGTACTGTTAAACACTGGGGATGTTAACACTCGGTAAAGTAAAGTAAAATAGTGCCTGTCAGATAAGATGGTCCAAAAATGTGTAATTAAGTCTTTTTGCATGGTTGATAACATCTTTCCAATGATTACTAAGTTTGTACCCATCATCACGGTTGAAATTATGTCTGTGTTTGTATATCTGAATGGCTTCGTGTACAAACCTTTGATGGTAGCCAGAGGGTTTGCAGAGCACCTTAGTCTTGGATAAAACAATCTCATGAGATCCCACCGCGTTGTAGCAATGATCGGCAACGGCGGAAGACTCAATTTTGCCGTGTTTCAAATCTGACTTGTGCTCGCGGACACGATCAGAGACATGACGTTTCGTTTCCCCAATGTAACAGTCACCACAGCTGCAACTCAGTTTATAGACTCCAGGGTATTGCCAGTCAGGGATGACATCCTTCACAGATGGAATGAGATCACGGATTTTATGTACTGTACTGAATCGGACTTGGATCTTATGTTTGTTTAGAATTTTGGAGATCTTTTTGGTCACTTGTGATCTTAATTACACATTTTTGGACCATCTTATCTGACAGGCACTATTTTACTTTACTTTACCGAGTGTTAACATCCCCAGTGTTTAACAGTACTCTCTTTATTGTTCAGCCAGCACTGGTATAAACATGGACATTTTCGTTCTTTTCTATCATGTGTATCAACAGGTGCTTGTACATACACATGTCCACGTACACTTGCACCCCACACTCTCTTTTGGCCCCCCCTCCCCGTCCAATGCGTTGGCGTGTGCAACAATAGTTGCTTGCGCACAACCACGTCCACGTCGCCGACTCTCGCGTACCACTTCGTGCATTCTTTTGGCCCCGCCCCCCTCCCCCTCCCGATACGTTCTACGTAGCACTTCGTACCTTCTTTTAGCCCCGCCCTCCTCCCTCCCGATACGTTCCATTCATTGGCTACCACATTCTGATGAGCTCCCCCCCCCTCTCCTCCCCCCTCAAATTGCATTTAAGGGCTTACATCTTGAATCCTTGCCTCACTTGATGCAGCAAATCTGGCTGTGACGGTCCCACCTGATGACGGAGACTTGTATTGCCTCCGAAACGTCGTGATTTTTGTTTTATTTTTATTAATTTTAATTTCATTTTTTACCTACGTGACTTTACCGAAAGAACTAAGAGTATTTACCGTGATGTTTGTGCTAATTATTTTTTATTGCGTTGTGTGTTGATCAATTCGAAAATACCGCAGAACCGCCAGTGTGCCGCAGCGCGCCGGTTGTCAAGCATTGCAATAGAGGACTCTTCTAAGAGTATTCATAATTGGCAAGATATTTGTGAGTAAAATACATTATAATCTTTACTATTATTACATTTGTGGTGGTCAGGTTTGACACACACGTGCCACAACCTGGGGGAGGGGTAGGAACTGGTCCGAACCGGTCCGAACCGGTCGGGCCAAAGGCGGTTGGAACCCCTCTGAGGGGAGGGGGCTGGCGGGAGCTGGGGTCCCCCAGAACCCCGCCGCTCAGAGAGAAAGAGTATATAAGGCGGCTCCCTGAGAGCGCGAGTCAGTCCGTCTCAAGCCGAAGCCAGAAGCCGCCCGAAGACCCAGAAGACCCTGGACCCCAAGCCGCCGATGTCCTTCTACAGGCCGGGGCTCAGTGGGGTGCCAGTGGTCGTGGGGTGAGGACCCTGAGGATCCCTCGACCTGATGTCCTTGTAAGGGCCAGGTCCGGACGGGCCAGTGGTCGGGAACCCACCGGTGCCAGCGGTGGGTTAGCCTCCCCTAGGCTAGATAGCCGGAGGGCTTAAGTAGAGAAGTGTGGGTAAGATAGCCCGGAGGCTGTATCTCCCCAGGTTGTGGGTGAAAGGGGCCATTACCCCTTTGTGTTAAGGTGTAGTAACTGTTAGTGAATAAAAGTGTGTTGCCTCTAAGAAGACTCCGTCTCATTCCAAGAACATTACACATTGATGATAGATGTTACTCATTGCACATTATACTCCATATTTGTTTTGTGACTACCTAATATGTGTGGCAGTGACGTGCGGTGAGGTCAATGGCTGGGGAGGCACTGGCTCGTGTCAGAGCCAGATTCACACACTGAAGGGGGGTGTGGCCTCACGGAGGGGGGCGTGTTAGACACGTCCTCCTCAGTGAGGCAGATGTGATAGCTGCCTCCCCTGGTGCTTTTTCGTTGCAGTTTCATGACGAGACCAGCGAGTCTAAAAATCTTTATACAGATACGTGAAATAAGTAACCTGGAGTATGGAAAGCGAGGACATGAATTGAAGGGGTCTACAAACATTACATTGGTGACATACTGAGATAGTAACAGGCACGCGCTTGTTGCCCGCACTCCATCCAATTAGTGAGGGGTTGCGCAATCAGAGGGGAGGCTGAGCTCGTCGCTGCCTCACCTCTCCTGTATTTGCAGCGGAGCTCCGCAAATTTGGCGATTTTGACCTTAAAAATGATTGTAATCGTACAGAAATGACATTTATAACACAGATCAGTGGTAAAATCTTAATATTTATTTTATTATTCTTTTTTTGACTTTTTGTAACAGCTATTTTCATTGGAGTATGACAGGTGAGGCTCTGCCTCCGCTGCCTCCCCTGACCGCACGTCCCTGATGTGTGGTCATCCTTGTTGTTACGACCTACTTATTCTGGAGCCCCAGCCGATGACGTAGCATGTGCTTGTCGATGACAGTTGCTCGTTGTCACTGGGAAGGCAGACGAACCGTATTCCAGTGTCCGGCGTCACCGGTGCTTTCAGCTTAATCAATCCAATGTCTTTTCTATACACAATTAAAGGGGTTATATTGAGAATGAGAAGATCTGAGATAAGCATCAAGATATAAAACGTGCACACATTATGGTGAATTGGCTCCTAAACGTATGTAAAACCAAATAATGTATTAATTGTTCAAACTAAACACTCGATTTTGTTTATTATCAAAAATGTAGGGCGGGAAATGGTAGCCTCGCGTTTTTGTGTCACTTTAAACAACTATACTCTTTTGTTCTTTCGGTAAAGTCGCATAGGTATAAAATAAAATAAATTAAATCACGACGTTTCGGGCGCAACACAAGCGTTCGTCATTAGGTGTGACAACCACAGCAAGAAACAATTGCTGAAGTGGGCTCAAAGAGTATAGTTGTTTAATGTGTTGCTGAAGTGGGCCCACTTCAGCAATTGTTTCTTGCTGTGGTTGTCACACCTGATGACGGACGCTTGTGTTGCGCCCGAAACGTCGTGATCTAATTTATTTTATTTTATACTTACGTGACTTTACCGAAATAATCAAAGAGCATGGATCCCTGCAGTCACGAAAATTTCAAATCTAGCTTAAACAACTAATACCGTCATCTAGGTGAATTTGATGTCATTAATTTAAATCCAGATATCAGCATAGCTACATTCAAATAATGACCCTTGAAAAGGTGAACAACCGATCGAGTGTACCAACCAAACAGTGAATAACGAATAACTGGGACACAATGGATCAACGTTCACGTCGTGCCCCCGTCAGTATCCAGGTCCGCCTGGGGAAACTAATGATCCTACAAGCAGACAATTCAACGAGAAACTTCGTGAGAAGAGCCTCACATAATTATACTCAACGTCCCAAAGTCGAGAACACACAGCACCAAGGTCACATTTCAGTCGGAGCAGCCCTACGAATCCTCTAACTCAATGTCGAAGGTGTGTCAACAGCCAAGCGCAGCTTCATTGAAGTCCTTGCTGCCCATACCCAAATGCGTACGCTTGCGTATGGGAGGTCTACTGACAATGTACGTACGCATCAGTGACGTGCGGTGAGGTCAAGGGCTGGGGAGGCACTGGCTCGTGTCAGATCCAGATTCACACATGGAGGGGGCGTGGCCTCACAGAGGGGGCGTGGCCTGACTGAGGGGGTGTACCAACCAAACACGCCCCCCTCAGTGAGGCAGATGTGATAGCTGCCTCCACTGGTGTTTTTTCATTGCAGTTTCATGACGAGACCAGCGAGCCTAAATATCTTTATACACATACGTGAAATAAGTAACCTGGAGTATGGAAGGCAAGGACATGAAATAAAGTGGTCTACAAACATTACATTGGTGACATACTGAGATAGAAACAGGCACACGCGTATTGCCCACGCTCCATCCAGTTACTGAGGGGTTGCGCAATCAGAGGGGAGGCTGGGCTTGTCGCTGCCTCACCTCTCGTCTCTTCCTGTATTTGCAGCGGAGCTCTGCAAATTTGGCGAATTTGACTATAAAAATTATTGTAATCGTACAGAAATGACATTTATAACACAGATCAGTGGAAAATCTTAATATTTATTTTATTTGCTGATTTTTTTTTTACTTTTCGTAACAGCTATTTCCATTGGAGAATGACAGGTGAGACTCTCCCTCCCCTGTCTCCCCTGACCGCACGTCCCTGGTACGGATAGGAAACGGGGTGGGATGGGGGGTGAAGCCTCGATAATAATTTGTCTACGTTGGCCTTCAAATGAGCCACACTTCAGTTTCTTTAGCTGTCAGACAAGTACTACCGGGAGAAGTAAAACTGTGGGAGAGGTGTCAATTGTATGCCACCGTACCTCTGACTGCTAGCTGTCACGCAGCTCAGCAGTAAGTCTGACATAGTCTGGCGGCCTGCCCCATGGATTACACATCCTTCAATCTGGCCTCACTGCAGACTCCCGCTGGCTCAAGATTTTAGCTGCTGCGGTGCTGCTGCTGCCCGGACTTAAGTACTAATACTAGTCTGTACATCGGTATACTGTTGTTATAGCAGATGTTTAGTCGACGCACTTTATATAGACTAGTTCACCGAGTTTTAATTGTGTTTTAAGATCATAATAGACGTGTTTTTGAATAACCAGTCAGGATGGATAACACGGTCAAGTTGTGGGGGCCGTTGGCCCCCGGGGTCCCTCCCGCCTGCATCCCCTCTTCGTTTACGTTACCCCACCTCCCTATTACCCGCTACGGTTTCGCCGGCATTCGAACGCGACACCCCTACTATTTACAGCCTCACGCCGCGCTCCCACGCTGCGAACATACGTGCGCACATCCTCATCAATCAAACGCCGTGCTCGCAGTATAGCCCTGTGCGGCACGTTACCAATGCGCATCCGTATTATACACGTAGTGAACGTGCGCGCACACACGCATACAGCTCCACACGCGATACCCCCTCTTGCGCCGCTCTGCGCAGCGCTCGCCGTCTGCTGGCCGCTTACGTTATGATCGCGCACCTGGGGTACGCCTATTACGCACGCCGCGAGCTTACGCACACACAGTACCACACGCGTTCCCACACGCTCACACTGCACGACAAGATCACGCGAGACCACGCTTCGCTATTAATGATTTATTACCTGGTAGCTAATGTTCAATCAGTGAGTCGACGAGGCTGGCCTATTCCACTAAACCGGCACCTATTCCCTATTTATCGGCTATGATTCTAATTCACCTTCTTACTCACTGTTAAGTGTCCACGGCGGTCCGCTGATCCCGGTGCTAACCCCGTGCCTCGGTGCGTCGCACGGACGTCCGGGTCGCTGGCTCGAGCTGCGTCTGGTCGCCTGGCGCTGGAGTAAGAGAGCGATTTCCCCTCTGCGCTCTCCATTTATCCTGATTCCCGGACCCCTACCCCCTTCCCACGCATCGTGCGCCTTCGCTATGCTAATTAATCCGTTGTCCGCGCGGCGTGAACTCCAAACAATGGCACGCGCCCCCCTCGCCCGGGCCAGGCAGCTCCGCGGTGCCTTTGTTCCGCTAATCAATGAGCGACCTGCACGGCGCACATTCCAATCAATCCTTTTCTCACGCAGGCCCCCGTCATCGAGGTTCATGCGGCGGTGTCCATCACAAAGGCGCGCCGTGGGAATTTGTGCACGGCTGCCCGCGTGACCCCGCTCTCCAGGTTATTCATACTAATAGCCTTCTCCTTTAACTCCCCTAATAATGGTGCCTGCGTGTTTTCTAATGAAGCTCCTCCATCACAATGCTTATTCCCTCTGCCTGCCCCGTCGATACTCGCGTGTGTGGGGGGAAATGCGCCTCAACCGCGGTGGCCGAATGCCCCACGCCGCGACCACACCATATTAAGGCCGGCCGCAGCGCCGCGGTGCCACGTAGCACGGGGGAGGTCATCCAATTCCCTGATCGCCGGAAACCGTGAGAATTAATCCCGATAAGGGTCTCTCGGATAAAAACCGGTCGATCAGGTAACCTTCCCTTCCAGCTCTATGGGGGGGGGGGGGGAATGCGTGCGGGTGTGTGCTTATGTGGGGGGGGGGGGGGGGGTGATGGGGGGGCAGTGCGGTGGGGGAAGCCGGGCGGCTCCCTGGCTCGGCAGAGCGGCCCCGTCGCTGTGGCACCACAAAGTATAACTGTACAAAGCTGTGTGTAAAGCTAGGCCGCAAGCTAGTAAACAAGAACACGTAAATAGTATTATTCTTTGATCGTTTCTGCGTGGATTAAATATCGGCCGTTCTATATGATTCGGGGAGGGGGGGGGTGCGTCAAGCGTACGTACGCAGGTGGGGGGGAGGGGGTAAAAAGTACGCGTGCGTACAGGGAGGGGGGGAGGGAACTAAATGGATGGCCCCTAAATGGCTACATCCTTGCTGATGCCATCTATCACCCTAATATCCTCGCCACCTTGCTTAGGCAAGGCTTAAAGGTATACGCCCTCAAGTATAACACACCAAGTGACAGCACATCGACAATAACTGTCATAGTTAGTCATGTGATGGTCATCGATGTATACAAGCCCCTGAATAAGAAGTGGCCATCACCACCACTGCCAGCAGTCACTCACCTGGCTATATGTGTGGGTGACTTCAACAGCAACCACACAAAATGGGTTTACTCAGAAAATATTGAAGCCACTGCATTTGTTTTGATGGGACGAGTGACACATGAAATTAGCAGCCTGCACGTCCTTTGGATGTGACCATCCGTCCCTTCAGCTACCCAACCAGCAAAACTTTTAATAATACAGTAAAATATAAAAGTACCTGTGTTGAACCAGGTTCCTCCAAACCCGCAACGTCACCAGCACCCCCCTACCTCATGCACGTGACAACCCTCAGCCCCCCCCCAACCCGTGTCCCTCTCCTCGCGCACCCCTTCCCACGAGCAGCCCAGCCCCCCCCCACTGCACGCCCCCACTCACTACTGGCCACCCGCATGCCCCCTCCCCTCTGCACATGTAGGCGGCGCATGGCAAGCCAGCCAGCAAAACTTTTTTCTAACATAGTATGGGCGGTCATCCGATGATCATTCGTCAAAAAATCATGCAAACATTTTTATTGTGGGACGGACATAGACACAGAAATTTACACTATATAAAAGTAGATGTGTAATACTTACTCAAAGCTGGTGTGGTTATATCTGGAATGGTAAGCAGTTAGATAGACTTCTGAAATATTTGCCCCAGCCTCCTCCTGGTATATATTGTGCTTGCCAACCACTACTCGCATATAATCTGTGTTGCTGCGGATATCACATAAACAACGCAACGCAAACAGCTGTTATTCCATTTAAGGGCTTCCAATTTCTCTTATAAATAACAAAGTACCATTAATCCTAAAAACAAAAGCATGGCTACATATAAAACATCTACAACGTATATCTGTATACCTAACACAATAGCAGGTTTGTGATTATTAATATCTAAAAACTTGAATGCAAATGGGAAACGTACTTAGCACAGTAGCCACTTGTCAGAACCCACTGTGGGGCGATGAGGGTTCCACTACAACTGTGGTACCATGCGTTTGTCGTCCAATCGTAGATTTGCACAGAAACCTGTTGTCATCACATCAACATACAATCGAGCAGTCAAAGTTCATAATCATTTAAAGATACACTTCAGAATCTTAATTTTGACTGGAGAAATCTGATGAGCTATGAAGCTCTTTTCACAGATGTCCAGTGGGGGCAGGTCAGAAAGTTACAACATTACACCTAACATCAGGGGCGGTTTCTTCATTAGGGCGATTGGGCGACGCACCACCAATGTCATTCAACCACAGAGTCACGCTAGCCGTCACTGCAGCCTCTGGATATAGTCCAATCAGCGTCATGTCACGTTCTGTGGAGTACCGCCTCTTTTTGGGCGATTTCACTCTGGCTGAGAATCGCCCCGAGTGGCCCCATAGACTTACATTCAAAGATGTTTTTTTTCGACCGGGGGGCGCTCCAATGCATTCTCTATGGCTTCCGGGAGGGCTCGCCCTAACGTGCTTACGTCATCATACGTGCTTACGTCATCATACGTAAGCACGTTTCATCCAACAATATAATTTGTGGCCACCTAGTGGAATCTTTAATAAAATAAACTTGAGTGGTTTGTTTTAATAGTGAGTATAGAAACAAACAAGATGTATTGTAAGGGTCACTTTATTTTCATTAATATTAAAGAAGTGAAGTTGCCTTTACATGCTTAAGCTGTTAATTTATCCATTGCATGGGTGGACCTTATCCTTATCAATCATCCAGACATGTGCCCCCCCTGAGAGATTTTGCAGGAGCCGCCACTGCCTAACATGCATGTACCGATTTATTAATTAACGTAAATGCTTATGTTCATGATACAGGCATCGAATCATGCACGAAATACAGTAATCTACATAAAATATACACGAAAAGATGGAATCTTTTTTAAAAATGAAATATTGAAAAACATCTTGGAATAAAAAATAAATAAAGGATTCATTAGCAGTAGGGAGGTCATCCTCCAGCAGTGGATTGGACATGGCTGATGATTATTAGTGGTGTGCAGGCATAATGCTGCAAATGCCACCACAATCCTCATTAACGTTACTTCATAACATATTTTTTTTAATAGTCTGACGTTTATAGATACATCTTCACGTGACAACGCGATATTAGTTTACCTTTGTAATTGGCATTATTGTTTTTGAGCTTTGCTATACTATCAGTATGAATACATATTACTGAGCAGTACTTTTAATATCTTAAACTGTAGGTCACTCAAAATAAACCTGTTACAAGCATTCTACAGTAATAAGTGGGAGATGGTAGTCTTCACGTGGCCCACCTGTTATGACTTTTCGTGTTCCCTTAAACACAACTGATATCGTCATCTAGGTGAATTGGATAGCGTTAATTGGAATCCAGATATGATCGGTTGAGCTAAATGCCAAAAAGGCCATAAACCTATTGGCCACGGTCTTCCAGTTTATCAACTAGATATTGAAGGACTCAAGACCTAAATGTGACTTTCTGACAAGAAACCTAAAGTAATACAGGTCGGTATCCCTCTTTACAAAAGGGATGTTTAAAGAAAATAACACGTAAAACAAAATGTCGTAAACCGGTATGGCTTTTCACATAAATTTAATACTACTAACCTAAAAATATACACCTATATGACTTTGCACAGTTCAAAAATAATAAAATGAACGTAAATATTAAAACAATTGAACAATTTAATAGAAAAACAACCTTTTCAGGGAACTTGTCAAAAAATATACATGTTTGAATGACTGAAAAACAGTGTCACGGTATTGTAGGGATACCGTGACACTGTTTGCGGATGGATGATGCAGCCTTCTGGGTGCTGCTTGTTTGATCTCATGGCGTGTGCCGTGTGAAATTTTCTTAACACGGAAATTCGATTTTGTTCATAGAAATTTTCTATAATTTGTCAATTGCGTTCACGTGATATTTCGTAAATCGAACGTTTGTATAATGACCGATACCTGTATAATGTTAACAATGCCTCATTAAAGGAGATGGAAGTTGCGAAAAGTGAATGGAGGGAAAGGTAGAGAATAACTATATATCCTTGTTGCTGCAATCTACTACCCGTCCACGTTGCCTCGCCACCATCAGGCAAGGCCTAAATGACTATGCTATCAAGTCCACTACCACAAGCAATGGCCCATCAAAAATAACCATCAATTGGTCATGTGATGGGCATCAATGTATTTAAGCCTCTGCATAAGGAATGGCCATCACCACCTCTGCCAGCAGGCACTCATTCAGCTATATATGTCGGTGGCATCAATAGCTACCACACACACCCCGTGGTGCTACTCAGAAAATTACAACACCGGAGAGAAGCTCGTGGAATGGTTGTTGGCAAGGATACATTCCTTATACGACCACATAAATCCGGGGCACATTTCACTCAGCCGGTAGAAAACGGACCATAACCCAGAACTTACGATTCATCTCAAAAGTCAAGAATGGACAGCCACTAATTGCGTCATGAACAATTATAGGTAAATTTGCAGACCCAACACAGACTGGCAGTCATGCACACTGGGCGACCGATACCGGTCATAACCTCAAAACTACATCCTTGTTGGAAAGTTCATAAGGCCAACTGGCCCAGCTATGAAAAATAAACCATGCGCAACTGAAGAACCTGGAGCCAAATCCTGTAATCTTCAATAAATTCATAAAAATTCTGACATTTGTCACAAGAAATTACATCCTGGGGGGGGAATCTGAAAAGTAACATGCCATGTTGGCAATCAAAAATGGAACATCTCTTCAAAGAGTCCATCAGACAAGGTGAAAAATATAATGGCACCGCACTGCTAGTATCCCTGAACTCTTATGAAGAGAACGTTGGAAATACCTCACTGCAGATTTGGACTTTACTCACTCAAGCCATGAAGCCTGGTAACTCCTCTGGAACCTAGGTGACTCAACCAACAGAGCACAGACTACCAAACCCTAAAGCAAATACTTTGGCTTCCCACACACTATCCTGCTCAAAGACACCAATGGACAATCGCACCAAACAAGGTGTCCGGAAACAACTCAACATCACTTTGAGTCAACTACCGGAAGCAATATTCTATATTCTAGTGAGCGTACATTCATTGAAGTGGAAGGGGCCCTCAGGGCCATAAAGTCTTAACAAGGCACAGGGATATGATGGCATTTGTCCTCAGTTCCTAAAGAACCTTGGAATATATGGACCATCATAAACAAGACAGGTAATATCCGGAAATAATGGAATCATTACATTTGTCGCCATTTTGAAACTCATAAACCTGCAAGACTCGCTCTCCAGCTCCAGGCCAATATCTCTCGTGACCTCCACTTCCAAGCTGATGGAACGTTGATGCTTGCCTGATTTTCCCCCATTATTGACCCTTAACTGCCTCTCAAACAAGCTGGATTTCGAAGTGGCCGTAGCTGTTGTGAACAGAAGCTGGCATTCTTCATGAACAGAAGACCAATACAGCAATAATTGACCTCTGCAGCCTATGATACCGTTGGCGGACAAAATCGAATGCCGTTTAACTGTACACCTAATTGACGCGATGGTCGGCAAATGTACTTTGAGGATACGCCTCACTGGTGAACACAGCCACAAGAGTTATGAACAATCGCCTTCCTCAAGGCTTGGTGCGAGCACCGCCACTATGTAACACAAATGTAACCTGACATGTACATCTTCTCGCAAGTTTATATATACACATGACATAAACTTTAAACTTTGTTTTAATTTAAACTTGCTGCACAGGGCACAACTTTCGAGACCATTGTCAATACTCTAACAGCTGATATAATTTTACTGGAGGCATATTTACATTGTTGGAGACTGCCAGAATCCTTACAAAACCACCAAAAGTGGACTCCACCTGAATAATTGTTCAGCAGATGCGACCCTTGATGTGTCCTTTTGTGGTAACCCAGTGCACTATGATCCCACTCCAAGATATCTAGGGGTTATCATGGATAGACGCCTGACCTTTGAGTCCCATACAGTAGAAAACAGATCTGTGAAAAGACCAATTCAAACATCGTCTTGCTACAGAAACTTTCAGGAATGACCTCGGGCACCAGAAAATAGCTATGAACTGCCGCCCTGTCACTGACCTACTCAGTTGCAGAGTATTGCACTCCAGCCTCGTCCAGGAGCTCATACACAAAACTGCTAGATGTACAATTATCTACCGCAATGGGTATCATCACTGTTATTCTGAAACCAACACCAATCTCCTAGCTCCTTCTTCTGGTGAACATTCTGCCACCAAATATCCACAGAGATATGCACACTCCAGTACAAGGGTATTTATATGGTTTCTTTCAAACAACAACGTACCTATTAACCAAGACCTCAACAATGGACCTAGCTGCCGACTCTAGTCCCGGTCCCTTTTCTGGGTTCGTGCTGTCACCATCCTAGAGTCTCATCCAGATTCGGAAGAACGCTGGCAAAGAGAGTGGAATGACGCGGACATCCAGAATAAAACCTTATTTGAGACCTAAACATGGCACCTCCTGGCTTTTAAACTCGTCGAAGACACTGGTGCAACCATCAACTGTCATAATATCAACAGGCAGACGCACACATCTCCTTCATGAGTGGAATTTCAAAGACAAGCCATAGTGCGATTGTAACCATGCAACACTACACTAACTCTCTCTTGAAGCCCTCTCATGACTAGCAGACCTCGACATTAGCATTCAGCTCAAGAACATATTTCCATATGCAAGTGAAGTACCGGTGAAGACGCTTGACGCCGAGGTTGAGGCACACGTATATTTATTTCACAATACGACAGTGGGCATATACACACTCGAGGGGGTATCGGCCCCCTCACCCGTATAACTCGGGATACACCCCTAGCTAACTCTGTCCTAGCCCCGAATCCTCCACTAATGGGCTAGGGGAGGCTAACTGGCCCGACACTGGTAAGTCGGGCCCGGTACCCGGAGTTCCAGACCAGCTCTTACAAGAGCACCGGCTCTGGCTTTCGGGACCACGCCGCTGGCTCAGTCCTGTCCGGCCCTGAAAAGGACATCGAACTAGGGGAGTCCAGGGCTCTATCTAAGACGTCTTCAGTCTTCTTCCCTTAGCTTAAACATAACTGCCGAGCCCTTTGAAACATCCCCTTTTATACCCAACCCCTCCCTGAGGGGTGGGGCCCCGGGGGATCATAACGTTCGAACCAGCCCCCCCCAGGGTGTCTGGCTCGGACGTCGTAGAGAGCACTTGCTCGTGCACTTACGTAGCCCCGCCCACTGTGTTTGTTTTCCATAGGCTGCCATGCATAACGGGCCCTCTCTTTAACACCCCTACACAAGTAAAGCATCTACAGTAATAATTGTACCATCAGTTACACAATACTTCAATTAAAGGAGCCCAATGATTTATGCCACATAACTGCCAAGTGATAAATTAATCCAAAGCATATTTTGTAAAGTGCTAATTTAATTGGTAATCGTGATTTATTTCTGATCTGTAATTATTGTACTATGTACATGTTACATTCAGACCCGGCCGATGCTGTGCAGGCCAACTACAAAACCTCACACAGCACATTGAAGATGCTTACCAACAGAAGATGATCACTGGTGCAGCGTTTGTTGATCCGTCTGCTGCATATGACACTGTTCAACACCTATCTTGATCCACAAACTGTACCTCAAAAATGGCCACCTAGACCTTAGCCAGACCATTCGTAGCCTCCTAGAGAATAAATGCTTCTACAGGCAGAAAAGTAGATGGGGGTTCCCAAAAGAATGGCTTACCACAAGCCAGTGTGCTCGCCCCACTTTTATTTAATATTTACACTAACGATGAGCCACTTCCTGCTGAATTTCAGCGGTTCCTCTATGCTGACGACCTCTGTATTACCACACAACAGATGAATTTCGAGAACACAGAAAAGATCCTGGAGAGGGCACTGGACAAGATGTCAAGATTCTACCTAAATAATCATCTCAAACCCAACCCGAGTAAAACCCAAAATTTGTGCCTTCCACTTGAGAAACTGGGATGCAGAGCGACACCTGAATGTCAATTGGGGAGACCAGAGCCTAGAACACCAGAGTCACCCAGTGTACCTCGGGGTAACACTGGATCGCATACTCAGCTACAAAAAACACACTTTAAATACCAAAGCCAAGGTGAACACACGAAACAGCATTCTGCAAAAGCTCGCAAATTCAAAGTGGGGAGCACATCTGTCCACTTGAAGCAACACCGCCTTATCAGTTTATTTCTCTGTGGCTGAATATCCATGTTGTACCTGGGGATGCTCAAACCACAGCAAACATGTCGACACAGCCCTAAATCACACGTGCATAATCGTAACAGGGTGCCTGAGAGCCACCTGTACCCTACCTATATGCACTATCTGGCATAGCGGCCCTGTTAACATCAGGAGGTGAGTAGCAGGTGACCACGACCGGCAAGTCAGAGTGACATGGCCATCAGCCAGCACACCGTCTGTCATCGAGAAACAGCTTCTTGTGCTCCACTGTGCCACTGATCAGATCACCGGAATCTGCTAGAACTTTCCTAAAAAAAGAATGGGAAAAATCAAATGACACAATTCCTGAATGGAGCCAGTGAGAAATCGTCCCCAGTGAGGAGCTCGCATATGGATCAAATTCCAAATAGCTCAAATGGCGGAGCCTAAACAGATTGAGAGTGGGTTTCGGCAGATGCAACTCATGGCGCGTCTGCATAAGCGAACAATGTGCTTGTCAAGAGAAGCAAACCATGGATCTACTCCTGAGATGCCCTGCAGCACCACAATGCACTCTTCAAGATTTGGCAATGCCAACACCAGAAGCAGTGGCCTGTGCAGAATATTGGGAAAAGACCGTGTAGGTTGGACAGAAGAAACGATGAAGAAATAAAGATATTAAATATTTGCAAAAAATTAAATCGACAATAATCATGGAATAACAATATTTTACAAATAGATGATACGATGATATATATCATAGTATCTCCATGTCACAGCAACCATAGTCACAATGTATCGTATCATCTGTAAATATACTGATTTCCTTTTTAACACCAATGTAGAGACACAGGACTTGGGGAAGAACGCATCCTCAAAATGACTAAGTGTGAAAATAATCATATTGATCTCCAGCTGTGATCTAGGGAGTACTAAATGGACAGGAAAGGAGACAAATAGCATGAAACAAAATGAGAAGACAAAGTTCAGGAAAAGTATGGTGGGAGGAGATGCTGAATGGAGGCAGAGGTCAGCTCAGAAACGAATGAACACAACTCTCCCTGTGTTCTTTTAGTGATCCATGCTACAGGTTCTTATTAATATCCATTAGCGTTCATCATAGATGTGTTGTTCTTAAACTTGAGGAAAATTAGGTCAACTCGGGCTGACTGAGTCGATTCGAGTTAGCTGTCCCATGAAAATAAGATGTTTTGTCTCAAGGTCAAACGAGAACGTAAATAATGCAAATCAATATTATGCTGCGAGTATAAACTGGCTGACAATTTTGTATAATGTGTCACTTAATTGTACCGTGTTGTTTATAATCGGATAGAGCTGTAAAGAGTAAATTGTAACCCACTGCACACTTGTGGACATGTTCACAATAGTATTTGCATTTTTGTTCATCAGTTGATAAGTTAAGCAACATTAATGATTGTACTTGTTTCTATGTTCGAATGCTTATGCTCCCCACCTTCACCAATCCGCAGGAATTGGTGTGGTGAAGTTTGAAAAAAGAAGCCCAAGAATTAATCTCATACCTGCCATGGCCAGCTGTGAGGATTGGCCTCATTACCACCCGCAATGCGGCTATGTTGAGCAAACGCAGAAAAACCACAAGTCTGAGCCGAGACAAATGCTGTGGAAAGAAAAGCATACGAGTAATTTAAACACTCCTGGTGAAATAATTTAGCAGTTGCATGGAAAAAAAAACCTAGAATCCGAACTAATCTTACTGTAACACATGTGAATACCTTGATTCAGCAGGAAAGTGAAGATCAGGAGAGTGACCATGATTTCTTGATTGGGATTTTCCACACGCTGTCAAATGACCGACGCGCAGCCTATATATACATGGACATACAAGGAAGTGAAATGTCTTCATGCGAAACATTTTGCATATATAAATGTTCTGCGGGCATGGCGTCACGAGTCTACGAGTCGTACGTAGTCACATTCCATCACTACTTAAAAATTATTGCGTGTTTTTTTTTGTTGTGAGAGAAATATACAAACAATTCACGAGCGCATTGTGTCATGAATAGTGACTTTCAATTGATTGCCATTGTTTTAAAATATTTATTCAAATACCACATTATGTACATACACTGCATTTATAAGCTAGTTTAGGTAAATGCACGAGCTAGTCTGTTAATTATGTCATGAAGTAAAACTAGTAGGTTTATAAAGTATAAAAATACCACAATTCGTGGAATACAATTACGACGTATATAGCAGTGTGCACCTATTTTATCTGTAAAATTTAGTTTTTTACCTGTTGCCATTATGCTGCTGACAACCACGTCTAGCCTGCTTAATTTCGCCCTCCTGATTAACAACAATGCTACAAAATGCGTGTTAAATCCACACAAAATGCTTCGTTTTCACACGTTAGATGGAGCATGCACAATTCTGTTACGGTTCATTTACCATAGATGCTGTTACATACTTTCAGAGCATTTAAAACGAGAATATACACTTGCCCACTTTCTATTGGCTTTATCAGAACAGTATACTCTGAAACAAACAATAAGTAGATTAATAAAAAAAAAATCCGATTCTTTAGATCAGGGGTCCCCAATCCCGGGGCCACGGACCGACACCGGTCCGTGGCCTGCCGTGGCCGCACAGCAGGAGGTGAGTGCGGTGAGTCGGCGCGTGGCCCGTCCCCGTTGTTTTATTTACTACTTCCGTCCGCGCCTCTTTACCGCACTGCGCACTGGTCTCAGTCACGGTTTTGGTAAGCCCACAAGCTAACCCCTAGCCAAAATGAGTAGAAAAAAACGTCGCTGGGGAGCTTCTTTGAAAAGGGGGAAAGACCCAATAATGACCCCCCCACCGTCCGTGAAAACATGGTCTTCCACGAAACCGGTCCCTGGTGACAAAAAGGTTGGACGGCTGCTTTAGATGCAGCACAAACGTAGCGCCTCCAGTAGGGAGCGTTGTATTGCGGGCTGCTGCTGATTGCTCGGCTTGGAACGTCTAAATTCCTGTGAACCATCATACAAGGGTTTTTTAAATCTGTGTTTTTGTTGCATTACCGGTACAATAACCGAACAAAAAACGGGTAATACACGTGTTTTTTGCACATACTGTAGAGACATATCTAGCAATAAACATCAACGTTTTCACTGATGAATGAAGGGAGCTTCCGTGGTGTGACAACGGAGCATGTAACCCACACTCCACGACAGTTGCAATGGGAAAATGTCTTCACTGCTGCTGACCACCCAACAGTATAAATCGTTACAACACAATCGTTTGGCAAGGTTGTGCCCGCCCTCACAGTCGGCCATATTTGCGGAATACACCACGCCGCCGTTGACCCTGGCCATTGACCGAGCAACCCAACGTTCCTACCAGCTCCCTCCGCAGGAATGTGTTATGCAAAGGTGTCGGCCCTCCAACGAAATTGCGTGACGGGCGCGCTCGTACTTGGTTCACACCCGCACGTGATTCGCTAATGGGAATACGTGGGAAGGGGCCATGAATGGTCTCGGCTATTGCCAAACACAGAATTCGGTGTTTTTGCTCAGTGGCTTAGCAAAGATTTGAATTATGTCCAATGTGTATTCAATAACTGTGTTCACAATTGTATGCTCAATCACTTTAAAATGACGTTAGGTGACATCCACCCTGATCAATTATACAACACCCAGTGCGGTAATATTGCACGGTGTGACTGTCATTTTCAAACATTGTTCACAAAACCAACCCTTTTTTTTACGTCTTTACTATTGTTGATTGGCGAGTATGAGTTTTCTTCATAATTATACTTTGTTGCATAAATAGCTCTTCTATTAATTTGTACCTTTTGCACAAATTCACATTAACGTAATTGTTGACCACGTTCATCATCGGCCATGGTTTATCCATTCCTGGATGAAAATTTCTTCAGCCACCATTAGGGAATTGAAAAGGAATTCTATCAAAACTATACTCTTTGGTTCTTTCGGTAAAGTCACGTCGGTAGAAAAAAAATCACGACGTTTCGACTGCAACACAAGCAGTCGTCATCAGGAAATATGGCTTCAAATCAAGATTGAATTCTATAAAGTTGACCATGTTGCACAATCCAATTCCAGCCACGCACGGGAAAGTAACATCCCATGCACCACACTGCATGTATTATGGTTCTATGGTGCTGATGGTTGTGTGCGATATAACTGTGATTTAATTTAATTCTGCTTATATTGTATTTGTTGAACAAAAGGGGTGAATGTCCATTATTTTTGGAATCACATTTTTTATTAATGAATAACATTTTAATCATGCAACCACGAGTATGACATATAAAGGTTCATAGAAAGAACTAATTTAAGGTGCGATAGAATAAAAAAACTGTGTTTTATATCTGCTTTTAATAGTAGAATTACTGAAACAACTTGGGAGTATGTCTTAGAGTTCAGAATTATTAGTTGAGAGGAGAAAGGGGAAAAGGTACAAGAATTACATGACAAGCAGTGAAAAAGACTAAAAAGGAAACATTGATTCATGCTATATTAAACAAGCTTGTGTTAACATTTCATAAAACATGATGTAAATATCAATAATTCAGTATGTTTTAAGACCGCGATGATCATCTTGATGGTACTGTTTATCGGCCACAAGAATGTCCTTCCGAGTCAATAACGCGCCATCACCTGCACATTGGAAATTCACGTAAAATACAGTATTATCTTATTAAATATTTCTGACAACCAATATTACAACACAGTCTTGGTCATTTCTTTATAAATCGATTATAAACGTCATTGTAATGTTAAAGACCAATACAATGGTTGAAACAGTCTATACATCCAATGGCCAAATATTATGACGCAATTATGCATTTAGCTTTTCTTGTCTAAATATCTGGGTTTAAAAAAAATGTCCTTGCATACACTTCGTAGTGTAGTTTCAGCCCTGTAAATTCTTATTAAAAGCTGGGGACATGGGGTCAATGGAGAACTTATTGAGTATTTTAATATAATGTAGAAGCATCTACTCTTTAAACGTATAAGTTTAGGTTCTTGATCCATTGGACAAATGATTGTTTTGTAGTGTAAATTGGAACTTTTTGACATTAGGGAGATTTTATTTTTTTGGAAAAAGATCATCATATGACTGGCAATTAACTTTATTTATCTAAGAAAGCCTTATTAAGTCTCAAATGTAAATTGAATAAGGGCCCTCGCTGGGATTCACGTAGGGTTGCCATGTCTTCCATAGACCAAATCTAGACATTTCTAAGGTAGCATAGATCTATCAACACTGCACCACATAATACTGTAATATAATTTCAACAATACTAACCATTCTAGATATGAATCATTTCCTGACACCTGAACAGAAATGTCATTTGCTGAACTGTCTGTATAAACCCCATATCATACCTGGACAAGTGGGAAACCTAGCTTGAGTACCTACTTGATACAATATACGGAGGGACATGTGAAGAGAAGACTTTGGTTGGTGTACTTCAACTTTTTTTTTATTTCGTTGTCATCGCTCGTACACCACAGCAATACTCGTTCAAACCAACCCCGTTTCCTCGTTTCACAGTCCATTTTAAACCTTCTCTCTGCCCTTCTCCACCAATTACCTTTCTACAATTTCCTGTTCTTTTCCGATCCGTTTCTCCTCACCAATCCGATCAGAGTGTCATCCACCAATCTGATTACGTGTCGTGCACGTCAGTGCTCACACCCCCGATTTCTATTCCTTGGCCGAGTGTGCTGTGTGCGTGACGTCAGTGACCCCTGACCTCCGACCCTTCCTTGGTATATCCCCCGTTTGGTAATTGACATGTGCGGCGTGTGTGATTTCGAGTGCGGAGGGTATGAGTGTTGTTTGTGTAGCGCGAATGTGTGAGAATGGACTAGACATCCTTTACACATGCATCCATTTGCTGTACTGCCATCTTATGGTCAGCTCACAGCCCAAGTTTTAGTTCTGGATGAAGTCTGTATGAGACACCCGCCTCACATCGAAAGTACTGCATCATAAATGTGTAGAGGAGTAGAAGAGGGTAGTGGCGTCGTGTGCGCTGTCCGGTGCAATGGCGTCACCAGACGTGGGGTCATGTGCTCTGGACGACGCACATGACGACACAGCTCCTCGAGTATAAAGGGGGGACCCCATGACGTAAGCGGGGTCGTAGCTGGAGTAGAGGGTCCGAAGAGGGTGGAACGGGGAGCCAGGGGCAAGAGGGTAGGGATAGGAGTAGCACAGCACCCGAGCTGGACATGGCCATGCTCCTCAGTCGGCCATGTTGGCTGACCCCACAGCCGGCGCAGAGGAGACAGCACGGGGCACCCGGCTGTGTCGGGACCTAGTAGGGACCAAGCCCGGGACCCCTAACCCCTGGGAGTTGTTCCCCCGAAAGATATCAAATAAACCTACGGCGAAAGCCCTTAACCCTTACCTCCGTCTCTGAGTCGTCGACAACTCTTCTACAAATGTATGCCACCATGTTCAACAAATGATAGAGATGTTCCATTAAATATTTTAATGTGCAGAGTGTACAAATACTGTTTTGAAATATGTATAACCGATTAACATAATATACGAGCTTGTGCATACCATTAGCGGTTTGAATGTGTAGCTTACGTTTTGAATCCAGGGAATGTAGGCAGATATTCTAGTGAAGACTGTAGGCCTATAGTAATTTTTACAATTCCAGCTTGATATAAATGTAACAAAGCCATGCACAACCCATGAATTGTCACTCTTCAAACATAGTAGCGGTCCACCCAAATCACCCTTTGAACGAACGGAAAAGTCATTGTTAAACCATTATTGTTAACCACAACTTAAGATATGAGTAGAGAAAATTCTTACATCTGTCAGACTGTCAAATAATGTACTGTGTGAAAACTTTTGATGCATTTTGAGCAGAGTAATCCATGCACTGTACAACTTGGGCACATTATTCCTAAAAACACTTTCACAACAAATCAGTAAATTGTTTCAAATGGTGACTCAAACAATAAATATTCTTACATCGCATGCACCGCTTGATCCATCACCAGCACATGTTGTGTTTGCAGGTAAAACAGAATTCCAAAATTCGGGTGTTTTGCATGTGTTGTCGTCAATCACTGGTAGGTTGGCTTGCTGGAGCGTGCTGGTCAATGAACCATTGACTGAAATATATCGGGAAAATTACTAATAAAACTCAGTCACAACCCTTTTACAATATATAATTCATATATTGTACAGTATGCAGTCGAGTCACAAAAGTTTTAATTTAAAAAAAAGGCAGCATTCAACGAGACGCTACACCAAACACGACAACGTATTGTAAGTTAAGGGAGGCGCAAGGGAATTCTACCACGATGTGGTGAAATCTCATCTATAACATGTGTGTGTGACACTTTGTTTAATTTATCTGTGTGTCCAATTTAATCGTATATTTACGGTGTGCCACAGCTCGCCGGTTGTAATGCATTGCAATAGAGGACTCTTCTAGAAGTATTCATAATTGGCAAGGTATTTGTGAGTAAAATCCATTATAATTATTATGACTATTATTACATTAATAATAGATGTTACTCATTGCACATTATACTCCTGTATTCCATATTTATTTTGTTACTACCTAATGTATATGGGGTCATCTGTGTTGTTGCGACCTACTCTTTTTGGAGCCCCAGCCGATGGCGTAGCATTTGCTTGTCGATGACAGTCGCTCGTTGTCACTGGGAAGGCAGGCGAACTGTATTCCAGTGTCCGGCGTCACCGGTGCTTTCAGCTTAATCAATCCAATGTTATTTCTATACAAAATGAAATAGTTTATATTGAAAAAGAGAAGATCTGAGATAAGCATCAAGATATAAAACTTTTATACATTATAGTGGATTGGCTCCTAAAGGTATGTATCTCGGCCTCGCTGTGCGCTGCGTTGCACCGCTCGTCGAGTAGATAACCTTGCGTTCAATAAACCCTCGGAGCCAGGATGAACGTCCAACTCCAATTGTCATTTATTGATTGTAACAAGGTAAAACTGGTGAGAAAACACAGATACAGCATCTGTTATAATCCGGAAACACCAACACAATGAACACCACAGCATCAGAACATTGTCTTAGATAACAATAGATCCTGGACGGACCAGGCCCCTACATTACCACTGAACAACTAGACAAAGCACAAGCCGGTGCGTTGCATACAGGCACATCGTGTAATCATCCCACTGCACCCCAAATGTACAGCATTACACATAACACTAAACTGTGGATGAGATACTTCGTCATCTTTACTCTCAGGATCGCAACATAGGCACAAGTCTGACTCGACCTACTAAATCACAAGTAACATCCACAATAAGGAAAGTCGCAGGCTTCGTTAATAACTAGGCCTCGTATTTACTACAACAACTTAACGGCACCTAAAGGCATTTACATCACTATAACGGTCATTCCAACATTACAACAGCATTGCCAATATTATAGGAATATAAACAACTTACAGACAATGCTTCTTAAGCTCCCACAATGGACAAGTGCAGCTGTGGTCTCACTGAGATGCGATGCGTGCCGCCATCTTGACTTATCTGTGTAATGGCCGACGCCCATGTGGTACAGTGGAAATCTAAAATCGTAACTTCCTGGTCACGTGACCAAAATTAGCATAAAAAAACAGGAACTTCCTGTGAACGTACGCTCCACATCTGCCGTGAGGCAAGACAGTATGTGAAAACAAATAATGTATTAATTGTTAAACCTACACACTCGATTTTGTTTATTATCAAAAATGTAGGGCGGGCAATGGTAGCATCGCATTTTCGTGTCACCTTAAACAGAACTAATACCGTCATCTAGGTGAATTTGTTGTCATTAATTTGAATCCAGATATCAGCAGAGCTCCATTCCAATAATGACCCTTGTAAAGGTCATCAACCGATCGAGTGTACCAACCAAATAGTGAATAACGAATAACTGGGACACAATGGATAAACGTTCACGTCGCGCCCCCATCAGTATCCGAGTCCGCCTGGGGAAACGAATGATCCTACTAGCAGACCAAATTCAAAGAAAAGCTTCGTGAGAAGAGCCTCAAATAATTCTGGTCAAAGTCCCAAAGTCGAGAACACACAGCACCAAGATCACATTTCAGTCGGACCAGCCCTACGAATCCTCCAACTTAATGTCGAAGGCGTGTCAGCAGCCAAGCGCAGCCTCATTGAAGTCCTTGTTGCCCAACACTGATAATTTCACCTGCCTGCAAGAAACCCCCATTGGTCCAATCCACAAACTCAGTGGAGGTCTACTCGCCCTCAACTCAGCAGGACCGGAAAGCAACCGCTTGGCTTAGGGATTTTGCAGTCGCTAAATAGAATAAATTGAATAACTATCAAGACCTAAATCTGACTTCCTGGTCATAAACCAAAGGGAAAACATTGACATTTTTCCCTTATAGGAGACGCACTTTGAAGACAGAATGCAGATGGCAAGCTACCAAATAAATGGTTACACCCTTGTTGACTCCATCTACCACCCTAATATTCTCGCCACCTTGCTTAGGCAAGGCTTAAAGGTATACGCCCTCAAGTATACCACAACAAGTAACGGCACATCGACAAACACTGTCACAGTTAGTCACGTGATGGTCATCGATGTATATAAGCCCCTGAATAAGGAATGGTCATTACCATCACTGCCAGCAGTCACTAACCCCGCTATATATGTGGGTGACTTCAATAGCAACCACACAAAATGGGTTTACTCAGAAAATATTGAAGCCACTGCATTTGTTTTGATGGGACGAGTGACACATGAAATTAGCAGCATGCACGTCCTTTGGATGTAACCATCCGTTCCTTCAGCCACCCAACTAGCAAAATTTTAAAAAATACAGTAAAATATAAAAGTACCTGTGTTGAACCAGGTTCCTCCCCACCCACGTCACCAGCACCCCCCTACCTCTTGCACGTGACAACCCTCAGCCCCCCGCCTCCGACCCGCATGCGTCCCCAGTCGCCCCCCCCCCTCAACCCGTGTCCCCCTCCTCGTGCACCCCTTCCCACGAGCGGCCCGTCCCCCCACTGCACGCCCCCACTCACTGCTGGCCACTCGCATGCCCCCTCCCCTCTGCGCATGTGGGCGGCGCATGGCATGCCAGCCAGCAAACTTTTTCCTAATATAGTGTGGTGGTGATGTTGGGACACACACACACCAACCCGGGTGACTTACAATACTTACCGGTGCGGGGTGATTGTGTCATCCCTGACCAGGGCCTCCTGAGGGGAAGGGGCTGTGGGGTGTGTGTGATCCCACAGAACCCCGCCCCTCGGTGGGAAGCGGTACAAACCGGTTCAGGGCGGTTGTCTTATCAAGGACCAGGGCCTCCTGAGGGGAGGGGGCTGGGGGGTGCGTGTGATCCCACAGAAACCGGCCCCTCGGTGGGGAATCATATAAAAGGCGGGACCCTGAGAGCAGAGAGGCAGTTCGACCAAGTCAAGACGAAGAACCAGCTGAAGACTGAAGTCTAGCTAGATAGACCCTGGGACTCCTCTGACCGGCTGCCCTTCTAAGGGCCGGGCAGAGCAAGCCAGTGGTGCGACCCCAGAGCCGCGAAGGCCGATGTCCTTTTCAGGCCCGTATTTGTGTGGCTGGTGGTTGAGACCTGTGCTGAAGCTGGGCCAGGTCAGTTAGCCTCCTTGAGAGGAAGATCGTAGAATAGAGGGAAGTAGAGGAGTTAACTTGGGGTGTTAGCTTGGGGAATACTTCCCTCGATAGAACGGGTGAAGAGGCCGTTACCTCTTCAAGTGTCAGGGTCGCTACATGCTGTATTGAAGTTATTGTTAATAAATACGTGTTGCCTCAAGTCAACCGTCTCTGTCGTCAAGCAAGCCCACTACAATAGTATGGGTGGTCATCCGATGATTATTTGTCACAAAATCATGCAAAAAAATTTTGTTGGACAGACATAGACACAGAAGTAGATGTTTAATACTTACGCAAAGCTGGTGGAGTTAAATGCGGAATGGTAGGCAGTTAGGTAGACTTCTGCAACATTTTCTCCAGCCTCCTGCTGGTATATATTGTGCTTGCCAAGCACAACTCGCATATAATACGCCTTGCTGCGGATATCACGTAAACAACGCAACTCAAACAGCTTTTATTCCATTTAAGGGCTTCCCATTTTTTAAATAAATAAATAACACAAAGTACCATTAATCCTAAGAAACAAAAGCATGCTTACATATTATAAAATGTCTACAACGTATATCTGTATACCAAACACAATAGCAGGTTTGTGATTATTCATATCTAAAAACTTGAATGCAAATGAAAAACGTACTTGACAGAGCTGACACTTGTAAGAACCCACTGTGGGGCGATTAGGGTTCCACTATAAAAGTGGTACCATGCGTTTGTCTTCGAACTGTAGTATTGCAAAGAGACCTATTGTCATCACATCAGCATAAATCGAGCAGTCAAAGTTAATAGTAATAATTTAAAGAGACACGTCAGAATCTTTATTTCTACTGGAGAAATCTGATGAGCTATGAAGCTCTTTTTGACAGATTTCCAGTAGGGGCAGGTCAGAACAGCTTTGTCGCAGTGGTTCATGGCTTCCTGGGCAATCACAAGGTCGAAAATTACGTGGAGCTGGTTGAGTCTCGTGTGAAGAACTACGGCACAATGGGCTGTAGGATGTCCCTGAAAGTCCATATCCTTGATGCTCAATATTGATCAATTCTAGGAGAACATGGGAGTGTACTCGGAGGAGCAAGGCGAGCGCTTCCACCAGGATATACTGGACTTTGAACTCCGCTACCAAGGACAGTATAACGATAACTTGATGGGAGACTACATTTGGAGGCTGATTTGTGAAAGTGGTTTACAGTATAATAGTACATTTTGAAAAACTACTCACTTCTAAATCTTTTGTAGTCTTTTTTGTATTACTTTAGTATAAATACATGTTAATTTTGATTCAAATGTTCTTTTTTTCTGACTTAATGTGAAAAAAAACACAAATTCGGCCGTTTTCTACACATCACCGGAATCTGCTAGAACTTCCCTCTGGCAAAAAGAATGGGAAAATCAAGTGACAAAACTGCTGAATGGAGCCGGTGAGGAATCATCCACAGTGAGGAGCTCCCATATGGTTCCAAATCAAAATAGCTCACATGGCAGAGCCTAAACAGACTGAGAGTGGGTTTCGGCAGATGCAACTCTCTTATGAAATCATGGCGCTTTTGCATAAGTGAACAATGTGCTTGTCAGGAGAAGAAAACCATGGATCTACTCCTGAGATGTCCTGCAGCACCACAATGCACTCTTCAAGATTTGGCAATGCCAACATCAGAAGCGGTGGTCTGTTCAGAATATTGGGAAAAGACTGTGTAGGTTGGGCAGGAGACACGACGAAGAAGTCAAGATATGAAATATTTGTAAAAAATGTAATCGGCAATAATCATGAAGTAACAATAGTTTACAAATAGATGATACGCTGATCGTGGATATTACATCATATGATTTATCATAGTATCTCCATGTCACAGCAACCATAGTAACAATGTATCGTATCATCTGTAAATGTACTGTGATTTAGGGGGCACTAAATAGACAAAAAATTACAAGAATAGCATTAAACAAAATGGGAAGGGAAAGTTCAGGCAAAGTATGGCGGGAAAAGATGCTTAATGGAGGCAGAGGTCAGAAACGAATGAACACACCTCTCCTTGTGTTCTTTAAGCGATTCATGCTACAGGTCCTTATTAATATCCATTAGAGTTCATCATAGATGGTGTTGTTCTTAAACTTCAGGAAAATTAGGTCAACTCGGGCTGACTAAATCGATTCGAGTTAGCTGTCCCATGAAAATAAGATTTTTTGTCTCAAGGTCAAATGAGAACGTAAATAATGCAAATCAATATTCAGCTGTGAGTATAAACTTGCTGACAAATTTGTATAATGTGTCAATTAATTGTACCGTGTTGTTTATAATCGGGGAGAGCTGTAACGAGCCAATTGTAACTCACTGCACATTTGTGGACATGTTCACAATAGTATGTGCATTTTTGTTCATCAGTTGATAAGTTAAGCAACATTAATTGTCTTTCTCGTTCCGTTTATTTGCTCTTTAAAGTCCACACCTTCTCCTCATCACCGCTCCGTGTCTCCCCGTTCGCTCCGTCACGCTATCCGCCATCAATGGCGCTCTATGTCTCTCCGTTCTCTCTCCTGCTCTCCCAGAGTCCATCACTCCGCTGCTACCCTACTCTGTATCTCTCCAATGTACTGCTACCACTGCTACCACTCACTCCGTCTCCTCTATCCACTGCTACCATACTTTGTCCTATCTCTCTCCACTGCTACCCTTATCGTATCTTCCACTGCTACCGTACCTTGTCCTATCTCTCTCCACTGCTACCGTTATAGTATCTGTCTCTACTTACTCCTGCTCTTCGCTATTTCGGGCACCATTACTCCAACTCCTATCCAGACTCCAGCTCTAACCAAGACTCCAGCTTCCACCAAGACTCCCGTCTCTACGTTACGCTATCCTTTTATATCCACCCCAATCAGTCCTTATTAATTATCTCACCCCCCCGCTTTACCCCTGGTCCCCAAAGCCCCCAGCCTCACGTGGCCTTGTTATTCCCGCCTGGGCGACGCCAGTCATTAAGCTTTCACCTTCTTAACCAATCACCGGCCTGTATCCCCGGTTGCCCTTAACACCTGTTACGCCACTTAACGCGTCTCCCTCACGCCTCAGCAACAACAACATCGTCCTCAAATACCCCCTACTGTACACTTGCTTGCTTGCATAGCAACAGACCCACAGAGCGCGTGGCGCGGCATATTCCAAGTCCTACAGAAGTATCTACTGACTCCAGTAGTATCTCCTTAATCTATAGTGGTAAATACTGAATCTACAGTAGTAGCTCCTGACTATAGTATATCCTGACTCTAAAGAAGTTTCTACTGACTCTACAGTAGTATCTACTAACTCTATAGTGGTATCTGTGGATTGTACAGTAGTATATACTAACTCTATAGTAGTATCTATCGACTACAGTAGTACCTCCTGACTTGTTAGTAGTATCTACTGACTCTACAGCATTAACTACGGATTGTACAGTCGTATAAACTTTTCCGACTGGTAATCAATTCTAAAAACGGTTAATGGATTACCTCGTGTCATTTAACGTCTCTAAATTAGATGTAAGGGTGTCGGCCCCCAAAGAAATTGCGTGACCGGCGCGCGCATACTTCGTTCACACCCGCACGTAATTCACTAATGGGAATACGTGGGAAGGGGCCATGGATGGTCTCGGCTATTGCCAAACACAGAATTCGGTGTTTTCGTTCAGTGGCTTGGCAAATATTTGAATCATGTCCAATATGTATTCAATAGATGTATCCACAATTGTATGCTCAATCACGTTTCAATGACGATATGTGACATCCACCCCGATCAATTGTACTACACCCAGTACGTATTGTTGCATGGTGTGACTGTCATTTTCTATCAATGTTCACAAATCCAACCCTTTTTTACGTCTTTACTATTTTTGATTGGCAAGTATGAGAACGCACTGAGTTTTCTTTGTAATAATACTTTGTTGCATAAATAGCTCTTCTATTAATTTGTACATTTTGCACAAATTCATATTTATTGTTGACCACGTTCATCATCAGCCACAGTTTATCCATTCCTGGATGAAAGCCTCCTTCAGCCACCATTGGGGAACTTAAGAAGGAATTCTATAAAGTTTACCATGTTGCACAATCCAATTCCAGCCACGCACGGGAAATTAACATCCCATGCAACACACTGCATGTATTATGGTTCTGTGGTGCTGATGGTGTTGTGCAATATAGCTGTGATTTAATTTAATTCTGCTTAAATTGTATTTGTTGTTTAAAAGGGGTGAATGTCCATCTTCTATTTGGAATCACAATGTTTATTTATGAACTGACATTTTCATCATACAGCAACGAGTATAACATAAAAAGGATTACAAAAATAACTAATTTAAGGTGAGATAAAAAACGTGCTTTTTTGTGAATTTAAAACTAGAATTACTTTAACAACTTTGGAGTACGTTCCAGAGTTAAGAAGTTTTACTTGAGAGGAGAAAGGGGAAAAGGTACAGGAAGTACATGACAAGCATTGAGAAGTTAAAACGACTGAAAGGGAAAGATTGATTCATGTTACACTAAACAAGCTTGTGTTAATATTTCAAGAAACGTGGTGATGTAAATATTAATGATCCAGTATGTGTTAAGACGGCGATGACCATCTTGATGGTACTGTTCATCGCCCACAAGAATGTCCTTCCGAGTTAAATAACGCGCCATCACCTACACATTGGAAATTCACATAAAATACAGTATTATCTTATGAAATACTACTGACAACCAATATTACAACACACAGTAATGGTCATTTGTTTTAAAATCGATTATGAACGCAATTGTAATGTTAAAGGCCAATACAATGGCTGAAACCACTCGAGACATTCAATGACACAATTTCGCAGGCCCAATATTGACACAAAATTATGCATTTTGCTTTTCTCGTCTAAATATCGGTGGGGGGGGGGGGGGTTATATTGCCATTGGATACACTTTATAGTGTAGTTTCAGCCCCGTAAATTGATATTAAAAGCTGGGGACATGGGGTCAATGGAGAACTCATTGAATATTTTAATATTACCTTTTAAAAGTTGGATAGTTTACAGCAATATGTTTAGTTTCTTTATCCATTTGATCAGTTACTGTTTTGTATTCTAAATTGGAATTGTTGTATATTAGGGAGACTTGATTTTTTGAAAAGATCATGAAATGACTGGCAATTAAATTTATTTATCTAAGAAAGCCTTACTGAGTCTCAAATGTAAATTGAATAAGGGAATTCACTGGGATTCACGTAAGGTTGCCATATTTTCCATAGACCAAAACTAGACATTTCTTGTTTGAGTCACAAATTGTCACTCAATAAATATTCTTACATCGCATACACCATTTGAACCATCAGCAGCACATATTGTGTTGCCGGGTAATGTACAACCCCAAAATGCTTTTGTTTTGCATGTGTCGTAGTCTATCACTGGTTGGATGGTTTGCTGGAGCGTGCTGGTATATTCGCCTTTATCTGAAATATGTAGGGGAAATTACAAGTCAAACTCAGTTAAACTTCGATTGAAAGCTTTTGTGACAAAATGCGCCCCATGAAAAATGTTTTATATTTTATTTATACTTTTTTGTCACCACCCAAAAAATGTGGAAAGAATGAGTGATGGAATGTTACCACCTCTGTCTCGAGGCCCAATACCCGGTGGGGTATTAGCAGGAAGGCCACCTGTGTTAAGAACGCAAATACAGGTTCGGTCACATTTTTCAAATAAAACATAATGACATGTCTATGCAAATTTGTGAAAGAATGTTTCATGTGAAATACGATTCACACTTTCTTACAGGCTGCCTCAAGGTCATTTAAAAGTGGGTTTCAAGACACCAAGCAATAATCAGAATTATTATTATATTTTATCGTAACACAGTAGTAACTGAGTTTGTCTTCTTGGTTCTTTCGGTAAAGTCACGTAGAAGGGAAATAAAATAATAAAAATAAAACATAATAAAATACAATTCTCACGACGTTTCGGCCACAGCGCAAGCAGCCGTCCTCAGGTGAAGAACAGGTCTGTCGGAAAGACAGCGTCTGAATTAACACCACTACGCTTGGCAGCGTATATTTAAGCTGGGTTAGAGGAGGAAGGGCGCCTTGACAAAGGCATTTGCATATCAACAGAGGAATTTAGCATATTTATGGAAAATGCAGATATGGGATTAGTCACTACTTGTGGAATGTATAGGAGGTGGGGGGGGGGGTCTCAAAGTCATATTATGCTCGTGTTTTATGTAGGATTAGCAGTAATAAAGGGAGGTAGTAGGGTTAGCAGTAATAAAGGGAAGGAATTTTAATAGTAAGGAGCTGCAGCAGCCAAACCACCACGTAAAAAACTAAAATATTAATCCTTATTCACCAAAGTTCCTGTACCTGACACCATCGCAATCATTGAAGACTTGGTTCATCAAGGACTGAATACTGAGGTACCCCCCCCCCCCCTGGTGAGACACTGCTTAACCAATACATACTTCACCTGGAATGAAACTTTCTACAAACAAACTGAGGGCACCCCAATGGGCTCCCCCCTATCTCCGGTTGTAGCCAACGTTTTCATGGAGAAATTTGAGACTGACGCCATCCAGACTGCCACTCTACACCCGACCTTATGGAAGAGGTACGTAGATGACACTTTTGTCATCTGGCCACATGGCCGGCCTGCTCTAGACCAATTCCTCGACCACATCAATTCCATACACACAGCCATCAGATTCACCATGGAAGTCGAAAAAGATGGCAAGCTACCCTTTTTGGATGTCCTAATTAAAAGGAGACCTGATGGTTCAATGAGCCACTCTGTCTACAGGAAAGCTACCCATACGGATGCTTACCTAAAACCGGATTCCCACCACCATCCATCGCAGAAGAATTCCCTCATCAAGACTCTACACCATAGAGCCCAATGCATCTCCGACCAGGAACACATTGCCAGTTACCTCAAGCACATATGCCAAGCTCTCAAGGCTAATGGTTATTCCGACTACACAATCCGCAAAGCCATCACTCCGTTGAGGAGCCATTCAAAACCATCACCTTACCCTACATTGCGGGGGTCACAAAAAAGATCTCCAAAATCCTGAATAAACACAAGATCCAGGTCCGATTCAACACAGTACATAAAATCCGTGATCTGGTCCCGTCTGTAAAAGATGTGGTTCCAGACATACAGTACCCTGGCGTCTACAAACTAAGTTGCCTCTGTGGTAGCAGTTACATTGGAGAAACCAAACGACAAGTCTCGGACCGCATCCGTGAACATAAAGCAGACCTGAAACACAGTAGGACAAACACCTCAGCCATGGCAGATCACTGTTACAATTCAGTGGGCTCACATGACATTGACTTCTCCAAGACAGAGGTTCTCTGCAAGCCATCTGGCTACCATGAGAGATTCGTTCATGAGGCGATCCACATATACAAACACAGAGACAATTTCAACCGAGAAGATGGATTCTGGCTCAGCAATCATTGGAAGGACGTAATAAACCATTTCGGATCTTAACTGATTGTGTTCACGTTTACGGTGACTTTCAGACCGCAGTCCACTCACTGGCATTGACTATATATCTTTTGTATTCTCCGCAGGGAATGGAGTCTTTGCTCCACTGCATTGACATATTTCGTTGCTTCCTCTTAGTACCTTTCACGCGACCGTCAATGGTATAGTGTATAGCAGATTGTATAATAATAAATAGTATAAAAGTGTAATGTTTAATATAATGTATAAGGTAATATATAGTATCGTAATTGTATAGTGAATGTACAGCAGTGTGGTATACAGTAGGGTGGGTAGAATAATACATAGTGTAATATTACAATGTATAGTCTAAGCTATAGGGTGGTGTATAGTAATGCAGTATATAATTTAATGTTGGGTTTGTCTATGGAAGTATATAGTACGGGGTAGATCCGTGTGATGTAAGGAAAAACATTAGCTGGAGGCATATTATATTTTTTGCGACATAGAATTGTAATGTAGGACTTACTGTTAGTAGCTGAGCTTATTGGAGAGTATATTTAGTATATTGATGATATTGATGTAGTTTATATTGAGTTTTTTACGTGGTGGTTTGGCTGCTGCAGCTCCTTACTATTAAAATTCCTTCCCTTTATTACTGCTAACCCTACTTCCTCCCTTTATTACTGCTAATCCTACATAATACACGAGCATAATATGATTTTGAGACCCCCCCCACCTCCTACACATTCCTAATCCCATATCTGCATTTTCCATAAATATTCTAAATTCATCTGTTGATATGCAAATTCCTTTGTCAAGGCGCCCTTCCTCCTCTAACCCAGCTTAAATATACGCTGCCAAGCTTGGTGGTGTTCATTCAGACGCTGTCTTTCCGACAGACCTGTTCTTCACCTGAGGACGGCTGCTTGCGTTGTGGCCGAAACGTCGTGAGAATTGTATTTTATTATGTTTTATTTTTATTATTTTATTATTTCCCTTCTACGTGACTTTACCGAAAGAACCAAGAAGACAAACTCAGTTACTACTGTGTTACGATAAAATATAATAATAATTCTGATTATTGCTTGGTGTCTTGAAACCCACTTTTAAATGACCTTGAGGCAGCCTGTAAGAAAGTGTGAATCGTATTTCACATGAAACATTCTTTCACAAATTTGCATAGACATGTCATTAATTTTTTATTTGAAAAATGTGACCGAACCTGTATTTGCGTTCTTAACACAGGTGGCCTTCCTGCTAATACCCCACCGGGTATTGGGCCTCGAGACAGAGGTGGTAAAATTCCATCACTCATTCTTTCCACATTTTTTGGGTGGTGACAAAAAAATAAAAAAATATTTCATGGGGCGCATTTTGTCATGAGTGGGATGAATTTTAATTGATTTCTACACATCAGTACTGTTATCAATATGAGAGCAGGGATGGAGAATTACAATCTGAACATTCCAATCTCTCATCTGGGTCTTAATGCATTTCTTCCAATTTGCTTTGGAGCCAAAATATTGTTCTAGAATTTTCCTTGAGATTCTGCTGGAACAGAAT